TGCCAATTTAGGGCAATGCTTTAGCAGGTAATCCGGCAGTTGGGGTGGCTGTAATGCCTTTCAACAGTGATGTATGGGGGGATGAAGCTAGGTGTTGCCTGGATAGGTCAACGATACACCAGTGTAAACCAACAATATTGGCTCATTGTGCATGTTGCCTTTTCTGGGTCAGTTTTTTTGTGCAGGTGATTTACGTAGCCCACAATCCATTAATCGACAACTATACACCTTTCATAAATGATGAGAATGATGTACGTCCAAACAGGCTGACAGGTTTTAATAACAGCATCTGGCAGGCAAATTTGTCATTCTAATTATGAGATGTTGTTGATATGAAGGGTCATCTATCATTTGTTGCAGTTATTCCAGAGTGGCCACTTTTGGAAAAATGGACAGTTTGGGACATATTCAAACTAAACTTTTTTTTTCAGGAAAGCATAAAAGGCTCACATTCCTTGCTTTTGATGTAACAAGTGCCTTTGTAGATAGAACTGAACAGAACACCATATGAAGCAGTTAGTTCATTAGGCAGAAGTATTCTGGTCAGGTGCTGAGGTTCAGGCTTGATAAATAATGGAAGAAATACAGCAGGATCTTGCCTATAATGCAGCACAAGCTTGTATATTTTCTAACTCATTAGCTCCTAAGCTTAACACAGTCAAATGTGTGGAGTTTATTTCCTTCCCAACGTTTCCATACACATATGAAATACATGTGTAAACCTTTTGCATTTTGGTATCACTTAGGAGTAATGTGTATGATATGATATTCGTATATGATCATGAATGGCAAAATTGCTTTTCAGTGATGATACAAAGTGCACATGTACAGGTTATAGTGTGTGTTCAGTAGCCATTTTCCTAGGACTTACATGCATGATTGTAGATATTTTATGTATGTCTTTTTAGCTCAACCCAAAATATCAGGTGAATTTGGTCTTGATACATGTTTATCATCAGAAGGCCTATCAGTGGTCGAAATACTTTTTTTCAGTGCTCTGCAATATTGCAGAAGAGTCCAAATTTTGTTCTGCAATTTGGAAATACTTTCTGCAAAAACATACTAAAACATACTAATAAAAGACATACAAAAAACAGTTACTCAAGTAGCTGTATATAATTTTGGTGCTACCTAAAACGGTCAGACTACTATATTTCTCATCAGTGACACTAAGAGACTGAAGGAGAACTGCAGGTTTATAAGCAAAAATTATTGATTGATATGCAAATTAGTGAGGACAACTTTTTGGAAGTCAAAAAGGAAACAAAAGATAGACAAGTCAAGACAAGGATGATGCAAATTAGGGAATAAGCTCCTGTTGTTTCAAAACAGGAGCTTATTGTGTTGTCTGTCCTTGGGGCCAGAGAGTTCTAGTTTGCTAAATTGAAAACCATTGAATCTGGAGTCTATTTTTCCTTCTGCAAAATTGCAGATTGTATAAATTTTTCTTCTGCAATCTTGAAAATCTATCTGCAAATTGCAGACTGCAGACAGGTATTTCGAACACTGCCTATGCAACATTTAAAAACTTGTGGTGGTCTAGCAGGCAAAGGAACATAAATGTACATTGAAGTGAAAATCAAATTATCTGTAGCAGCATCTGTAAGAGCTTTTTGTACCACACAACTGCAGCCAAGATGCATATTAAACCACTGAATAAAAATTGCAACATGGAGTATTTGTGATGATGTCCACTGGGAACATTCATCAGATTGGAATGCCTCATTAATAATGCCTGCAAAGGAACACTTTGCCCTATCATCCATTTAGCCAGTTGTGCTCCATTCACCTCTGATCTATTTGTTATCCTTTCTAGCAGAAAGATAGCTATGTAGAGGTGTCAAAATGTCTTGAATTTTCATCTTCAGAAGATGGATATTGCTAATTTCTTACAGTTGGCAAGGGTTGATTTCTGTACAGATGATGATGTAAAGAGCAGCAATTAATAGCCCACAAATGCAGTGTGCTCGCTGCATATTCATTAAATTTTCATGACGCGGGAAGAAGGGCAAATGCTGTCAGTTGTAACGTTTACTGTAAGCCTGCTAGATTGTAGGAAAGGTGCATCAGTATTTTGTTGACAAACTAGTAGTTGATAAACATCTGGGTATGCATTTTAGCAAAGAGTTTTTTGTCGGCAGGAATAACCATCTCTTCTTATGCTTTTTAACCATGCTACATTGTTCATTGTGTGAAAAACAGATGACATGTTATGATTACCAGTAATGGGAGGAACCAGTGGGTGAATAAATTGGCCTATGACCTCTCATGACTATATGAATGTCCTTGTCCCATCGTTTGTAATTTGGAAGAAAACACGTAATGGTACAGCCAACATCCACAACATTTTCATTCTTTTTGTTTTGAATTCTTGATGTATAAGACAGACATTAAAAAAGCTACCTCTATTAAACTTTCAGTTACCTGATTTGCTTAAATATGGTTTTGGTAAACTTCTGAGGTCTTAACACTTGTTACAGTTGTGTTTAGAGAGAAAAAGCAAATATTGATACCAAGTTGATGTATAGAGTGTACCACCTGTATATCATAATTATTTTATGCATTGTTTGGTAACGTTAACATGTATAACTCTGGTTTACCACATAGCTGATAACATTGGTGAAATTGGAAAATCTCAGGCAAACTTGTCAGAATGGATGTGTATGTGGCCATTGCTGGCAATTTATGATTCAATGTCTGTACCTGGCACAGGCCTGTGTGCTGCTGATAGGACACTAATTGCACGCTACAGGCTTGGCTGGGGGTGTCGGAACGTAACTGTGGATTATTAACAGTTACTGCAAGCACCTCAAAGGGACAGTTGTGTGGTCTACCAAAGCAGGGCAGATTTACCAAGGTTAATGGTGTCATGTCTCTGCCCTGGAACAATGAATTTGACAGTCACATGAAGAAACAGCTTGAAATAGTTTTTTTTCTTCTGTCTGTCTTAGCTTAATCATTCAATTAAAAGATATTGATGCCCTCACTATGTATTGTACATCATTCATGTCTAAATCTGTTAGTCCCTTTTTGCCTTTCTGATTCATGTTTTCTCAGATTTCATTAAAATCTGCCAAATTATTTACTTAAATACAGTACGTGTGGCTTGATGAAGCTATGGTTGAGTAAAAGGAACAATAGGTATTACCATAATGCCCATATTATATGCTGGATTTAGATACATGATGTACATACTGAAGCAGTGAAAGTACATGTACAATGTAGGCTGTAAGTCATTCCCTTCTATTCCTGTGACGTCAGTGCCATGCTTCATTGCCAACTTAAGATTCTACAAGAGTGTCTTCAATTTGTTGAACTTGATATCTTCCTTACCAGAGCATAGCATGGGTCCCCAAGAAGTCTGCATGGCAACTCATTAAAATGCAGAGGGTACAGTTGCCATATGCAGCACTGTTGAATGATGTCATATGTTACAACATGGGTCTCTTAAATGCAAAATCAGATATGAGATTAATACTGTTAGCTTAGGGCTTGGTATGCATACCATTTTTGTTTTCTATTTACACTGTTTATCTGGTTACATTATGGTCATCACATTCTGGTTCACTCATGGTGAAAATCTATTAACTATGAGGTATTATGGATATTCAACCAGGGTGGGTACAGTCCATGGTTTTTAAGCATTATCTGTTTCTTGTTTCCATCAACTGCCTGACAGATACATGTCCTAGCATTCTGTGATTATTCAGCTGTGTGTACAGAATGCATGACAAAAGGATAATTGCATTGTATCATGGTTATTTGAACATATGTAAAAGAGATATGGCAAGCAAAGGTGTTTTAAATACTGCTTTATAACATTATAATATGTTGCTGGTACCAAATATCCATCCTGTCATTGCATACCTACATGCAAAGGAGATACAGTGCACTGTTACTGCCCCTATGCTGATTTCTGAATCTTTAGTTACCTCCATGAAATGTCATGGACGTTATTTTTTTGTTGGTATATTTTTAGATTAAGTCTGTCCTTGGTGCTGAAAAACTTGCCACTGTTGATCTGCCCATCACTATTTCTATAGATACTCTTAAAGAGTTATTTAATTTTTAATCCTCAAATGTGTCCAAATCCTCATCATATCTGTCCAGTCAAAGTCACTATCCTCTGAGAAGGTTCCTCATACTGTTTGTACATGTAGAAAATCATCCTGTGCCTGGTTTTTATACATGGGCAGTAAAGGTGCTCTGCCTTGAGCTGCGGTTATATTTGCGGTGACATGAGGAATTCTATTATTCTGAATAGCTGCTGGATGTCTGCCAAATGTTCCTGCTGTTAGCTAGTTATTCTCATATTTCTCAGTGTTGTATTATTCTAAAAACCAAATAATAATTGTTAATAAATTGTTATTATTAATATCTTACTGAGATTGAAGTCCATGATAACAAGAAACAAACATGTTATTTACAATTCAAAAAAGTTTTGATTCCAAGTTCCATGCATTGATTCAGCACCAATTTTATGACTCTGATCCATCATAATTAAAAAAAAAATATTTTCCCTGAATGTTGATAAACATATTTATTAGTATCTGGGAAGGAAAATTTATGGACTCCTAAACAGGTTTACAAGCACATTTACATAATCTAAATTGTGTATTACCTTGTGCAGTTCTTTGGTGGTATTCTGTTAGATACCCCTTGATGTAGTCTACATGTATATAATTATGCACTACTGTTTTGATAATAGTTTAAAAAATGATTTGGGAGTGGAGACTGGAGAAAACGTTAACCACAATGTCTTCTCTTTATTTCTTTACAATTTTTGCTTTTCATTTCAACGAACTGGCATTATATTATATTATATTATATTGAATATCCAATATACATTGTTAAGAGCTGTTTTATTACCAAAAGTGTACATTGCAGATTTGGTATACAAACAATACATACAAAACCCCTCCCTACCAACATCTCATAAAGTGGAATCTTACTGAACATGTACCTTTGTGTAACATCCTTCTATCCTGTTCCTGTTCCAGTCTTGCCCTTCATCCAGAAAAAGTCCTGGTTGCGACTGGCCAGGTGGGGAAGGATCCCTACATCTGTGTGTGGGACACCTACAGCACCCAGACTATCTCCATCCTCAAGGATGGGCACACCCACGGCGTGGCAGCTCTGGCCTTCGATAAGGAAGGCAATGTAAGTTCCAGATTGTATTTTGTCATAAGCCACACTTACATATGTGTAAGCTTTATTAATCACCGGCATTAATGATCTCCCACTGGAAATTGGATTTGGGCAAATGAGATTTTTTCAAAAATGTAAAAATGTTTCTGATTTTTTTTCCCTTCAAATTCAATGTACCTGTCCTTCATGTACATTTTGATGATTACCTAGTATTGATCAAATCTGTATGCAACCTGACAAGTTACGAAAACAGTGAAGGGCAGTAAAACTTAAAGGATCCATTTTCTAAATTGGAGATGCTGTTTTTATATACCATTTGTTTGATGTGTTCCTCCTGACTAAAACATGATGGTTATTTCTAAACCCAAATTATGCTCATTTCCAATAATCTCTTCGAGCCGTTAACGTTTATGCCAAGCGAAAAATCAATCAGTTCCCTTTAAGAAAAAATGAGATCCTTCCCCTTCCATTTGACATCATGATGAAGCTGTGGTGCCATAAGGGATCTGCCCACATATGAAAGCACTTAGCTATTCTCATCACATATATGTAGAACATGTAGACACTGGGCCAAAAAGAAGCTTTCCTCCATAGTGGTTTAACCAGAATCTTGAACCACCAGGGTACTTCATGCTCAATGGGCAGTTTAATGTGTAAAGCAGGGATGAAAGGCAAAAGGGCCATGCTTATGACCATATTGTCATGTTCACTCTTTGATTTAAAAAAGAAGCTTTCAGGATATGAAGCAATCCCCAAAAGCTCATGTTTGGTACCGGCAGTTGAAGAAAGCCAAGATTTGCAATCTGGCCACTGCCAAGCATGTTAGTTGGGATCTGGAAGAATACTGGGGCATAGATCACTGTCAAGTATAGCTCATTGTGGTGCCAAAAGGGAATGTCTATCTGTTGTGAATTTCAGTCGTTTATGATGGTGATTGATTGCTGAGGTCACTGTGGCAAACCAAATGCTCTCTAACTGTTACGTTTGAAACTTGAACTTGCGCAGAGGCTGGCATCAGTTGGGCTGGATGGAGCCAACACGATAAATGTGTGGGACTGGAAGAAGGGCAAGATCATCTCTACAACCAAGGGGCACACTGATCGGGTAAGATGACTGGCTCTACCCTTTACCTGCTAACTCCCTGCTAACCTAAGCAAGCTTCCTTTTAAAATGTTGGGAGCCCCGGATTCTTACTTTCATCCCAGAAATATTATGCAGAAATAATACAATTTTATGGACAAAAAGTTAATTAAGTAATGATAAAATCTTGATTGAGGTCATGGAGTATGTAATTCTATTTCTATTTAACTGTCAGAATCAAAGAATGGTTACCTTCCTCCTCCCCTCAATCTGTGCATTAGGAGCAAAAGTCATTCAAGTATGGAAGTGATTTGCATGTATTGGCATGCCGCTCTTCCACTGAGTCATCTGAGACCTAATCACGTATACTGAATCGGTTAGTTAGAACTCATCGCAAATTGCAAAATATAAGTGCACTTAGAGGGCATGGAAAGTAGGTTCTAGTTCGGTCTTCATAACATATACATCACATATGTACAGCAGACATCTTGTAACTGATTTGATTAACTGATTATCACTGTAAGTTTCTTAAGGGTAACAATCATTAAAGCTCTCAGCATTTTTGTATTCACTGATGAATAAGTAGTGTACATGCTATTAAAGACCATCTTTTTTTCTAATAGACTACCTTAAATTGGCCTGACCTGCACCTCATAAATAGAGCCTAATAAAGTAAATGTCTTAGCAAACAAAGCTGCAAACCTGAATTGTGATTTATTTCTAACCCTGCTGATGTCCCTGTACTCCATGAAGAGGTCCCATGGTATAACTTGTGACAGTCCATGAACTGACATCTGAATTACTTCTGAGCCATTGAGTACATTCTGCCAAGTTCTCATGGGTATCTATGATTGATTGGGAGTTTAAGATCCTGTCACTTACTAGGGAAATGATGAAATAACAGCACCAACAGACTCACGGTTTACTGTATCTACTTGATGACTCATGTGTTGGCTTAACTAAGCTTGTAGCTACATATATCAGATTTTATAAATATGTTATTTATGCTGTCAGGTTTTGAATGAACACTGAGTGGGACTTGGGAATGGTGAATGTAAAAGGAGGTTCCATATGCATATCAGATAGGAGTATGTTTGTCAATTGTCTTTCAAAATGCATTTCAATACCTCCAATTGTCCATCAAAGTTCAAGCTGGTTATAAATCACGTCTTCACCCACTCATGACACACGTAAATATAATATTGTATATGCCAACTCCTATTTTGAAACCCTTCATTTGTTATAGAATTTTAATTGCAGCTATATGTTGTTGTGTCTCTTGCCTGACTTCTTCATCTCTTCTGCCAACAGATCTTTGATATCCAGTGGGACCCCTACAACAAGAACCGCCTGGTCAGCTGTGGCGTCAAGCACATCAAGTTCTGGACATTGTGTGGAAATGCCCTAACTGCCAAAAAGGGCATCTTTGGGAAAGTTGGGGAGATTCAGACCATCCTGTGCCTTGCATTTGCCCCGGATGAGGTTACCTTCACAGGGGTGCTCAATGGGGATGTCTACATGTGGAAAGGCAACAATCTCACGAGGGTCATACAGAATGCACACAATGTAAGTGGAGGTCTTTTATTCATGCCTTAATTTGGGCTTGTTTGGCCTTAGCTCCTTTTATTTTCAGTGATTTTATGTTGCATCACATTGCTGGGATTGCCGAACTGGCCTGCTTTCATATTCTTGAATGAAGCCCAACCCACCTCATTCTGGGGATATACTTGCCATGGCAATTACAAAATAGCTAATGAGAACTCCAGTCATTAGAAATGTCATCTTGCATTTGTCTCCCTCCACTCTCTTAGTCCTCCTGGAAGAAACCTGGCTCTCTGGTAAGTTCCATAATCTTGCCATGAAAGCTGTACACAGTGCATGCACATGCAAATTTTTATTTTGTGGAACAAGTCCCTTCTCTGCTCACCACTATTATTTCTTGTGAACTTTTACAAACATTTTCTTTGGAAGTGCTGTATCTGTAATAAATTATGATTGTGGGAAATCGTTGATAAATTCCAGTCTCTCCAATTCCTTGCATACATGTACATGACTCTCACAATGCAACTAAAGTTGACATGTCTGGGCCAATCAGTGGACTTCCTTTGGCTCAACATATGATGACATTGTTATGTAGATCAACATGGTCCAGCTAAAAACAAGACAAAAAAACATGTATACACATTGTACACATGTACCGGCAACTGGAAATTTTGCCACATAGGATTCATTTTCAATATTGAAACATTTAATACTTGAATCTGATATGAATATTCATGTGTTTTACTTGCTGTGTTTCCTCTCCCCCTTGGTACAGTCCCCTCAACTAAGCCATTCTATGTTAACCTGGATCCTTTTTTAAACACGCATGGTTGTCCATCTTTAAGAAGAAAGAAAGAATTTTTATGGTGTGCTCTATTGCTCATGCAGTGTGTAAGGGAAGCTTTCACTTAAAAATGCTATGTGGAAGTATTTTTTTGCCCCCAATACAGCACAGTTGAGTTACATGTATGTCATCTCTCTTCAATCTGTTACCTCCACCCTCTCAGGCCAACCTATTTCAGGAACTGGGGGTTGTAAGTAGCTCAATACTGTACCTTACCAGCCAAACTAACCCACTAGCAAAATGTCCAACGTCTTAATTGAACATGCAAAATATTTTGCAATTTGTTACACTGTTACATTTGGATGTGGTAATACCAGGGTGTAGGCTGAGGTGACGGAACATTTATTTTGCACAACAAAAATGGCAGACAGGGAAATAAGAATAGGTTTCATGCATTCAAACCATTGCAACATGAATGTGAACAGATTTTTCCAGCTGACCTCTAACAAGTTACATGACTTCTTATGTTTGTCTGTACATCCTAACTTAAGCACACTGACATTCCTCATTGCTGTAATAAGTCAACACATCTTATTGAAGATGAAGTTGCACAAGATTGCACACCTGTCTTCTTCATTGTAATATTTTCATGAATGTTTATAGTTTGCTGTGAGACAGGCTGTTATTGACCATGGGTCCCCCTAAATGTACAGTGTGGAACTATATAGACCTCTTTCCCATTGTCAATCTTTAATATAGTATGTGCACTATTGATTGTCCGTCTCTCTTAAGGTAGATGAAGGCATATTAGCAGGCAATTTCAATTGGATTTGACAGTGATGATTGTATTTCTGTCAATAACCATGTTTCTTCATGTCAAACTTGTTTTGTCCAACAAAAAAGTTGTCTACACTTTACTTCTGTCTCTATATTCAGTTTTTTATCCTCGTATTGTTATATATATCAATGCTACTGCTGCAACATAAAGTATACGTACATAACAGCCTTTAGAAAGGTTTAAGTTCAAGGACGTTATGTAACTTATAATGAAAGAATCACATGCATGGAATATACATGTAGTTTACTATTGACCTGTTTGTGGTATTTGGTCAAGTATTTTATTTTGAGATGATGAGGTCAGGGGTTCTTCATGTTCATCAAACATCATGGCTTCAACTGGTAACCTCCGAATACTGAAAATTACAGCTAGTGAGGCCTTCTAAAGTGCTGCAGGACCTGGTATACATTTAATGATCTGCCATCTATTTTTTTCTCATACATTTGTCTGTATCATGTTTCCTAAATCTATTTTTCTTCCTTAGCCTATACATGTACATGTACGAGATGTACTTAGAGTATTCCAGATTCTGCCAAATTCATGTTATTTTTTAAAGTCAATTAATGCCAATTTGAAGATCAGTGAATTTAATTCAGGCTTTCCACAAACCTAACATAATTCTCTACCTATTTGTTTGGTTTAAAGCTTATTTATATTATATAAACTCATGTAACCCACTACATGCAGCATGTGTTTTGTATTTTATCTGTATCTGTCCCAGGCTGGAATCTTCACCCTGTATGCATGTGACGAGGGTTATGCATCAGGGTCCAGAGATGGCTGCATTAAGCTGTGGGATACAGACTTCAAAACCATCGCCAAGATTGACCTGACTGAATCAGAACATGGGTACAAAGGTAAGATTTGCTGCAAGTAGGGCTTAGGAAGAGTAATTGAGAGTCAACGTTTATTACTGTTGTAGAGTATAAGTTTGACATTTATAAGTCTAGCCCTAAGACCATATTGGGCCTTTGGGTATACTCCTTAAATTAAAATGCGGTGCACAAAAACACAAGGAAAAAAAGAAATCAGAATCAGAGAGGTCAAGTATGTTTGGACTGAATGTCATCACTTTGGCTACCAGCATGATAGAACGGATGCACTGCTATCCAGCTGTCATAGAAATTATGTTCATTCCCTCAATGCCACAATGTCAATGACAGACACAACCCAAAAATACAATACATTATGATATGATTGTACCTAATCTACAACTGTAGGTCACTGATAGTGTTAATTGTGATAACCTAATATTCATATTTTATGTTTTGCTAACTTTCGAAACTTTACTCTATACTCTCCTCATCCTTTGATTTGTTAATTTCTCGTGTTAATCAGCTATGACTCCTTTTTCTCTAACACACTCCATCTGTCACTTCATTTGTGAGACTGCCAGTTAAACCAATGACACTCTCAGTCTGCCATGAACACTGCACCACCACATCTCCATCTCTTCCATGTCTTCTAGCCACTCCTGCACCCACCATAAGTTGGCTGCAAAAACCCCTTCCACCCTGTGCTGAGTCTAAGCCTCCCTACAAAGGTACTCATGAGTGATGTATGTGCTCTGTCCTCTGTCCACCAGAAGCTTGTGGAAGATGATGATCTCTCTTCTACCCTTAGTGTCTGTGCTGTAGGATTTAGGTCACGTGCAGTTTAGAATTTTAGAGTTTTAGTTGTAGGTTTTTATGATAAATTCTATGAATGGTATAAAACGGTTACCACATTTTACAACATTGAAAGGCTCTGCTTGTTTCTGTACCAGCTGTCTGAATTAAACATTTTTATTTGCATATGCCCATTTGTTTGCTGCTCATACATATGTGTACATGTACTCTGTACATGTGTATGATGAATCAGATTCATACTCTCTGAGTGATATTGTTTTAGTACATGTCTTGCCAGCTAATGAACATGATAATGGCAGCTCACTCACTGTCATACAAAGTGAATTTTTGCACATGCTTGCTTAAAGGGTAGAATAGATATGTCTTCTAAAATGACATGTATGCTATGCCATATGGTATAAAATTGGTATGATTGTTAAACACTTCAACCTGTGGGTATTTCTGTATTCTTTTAAACATAGCCAGGAAAATCCTGCCAAATGTCAAATATTACAGCTCCATTGTTATATAACACACTACATTTAACACTTCTCCAGGCAAGCCAATTTATCAAGGAGATTCTGTACTGTATAGCAATCATGACAATTGTAAACATTAAGATTTTGGTCTGTGGGTTTTGATGTGTTCCACTTGCTGCTGTTATATATAATATGTAATTGTTGATATGTCCAGTTATTTTTTATTTCATGTATACTATATTCTTGTTATACATGACAAAGAATACAGATAACTGGCTGAGTGTACATGTGTACTTCAAATATTTGTGTGTCATAATCAGGCCACACCAATTTAATTTGTTGGTTCTCGGATTCGCCTCTTCGTTTTTTCTGATTTTCAAAAAAAATTGATTCTGGTCCTGAATCAACTGAAAAATGCTCATGTTTTGCTCCCCAACAGTTGAGGAAAGTCCTTTTCTTCCTAGTTGTTACAGTTTTCCCATCTATCATTGCAGTGGTTTGATTAAAAGTTCTAAATTCAATGTTTAAATTTTAACCCAGCCTTTTGTGTTGACTTCATGGCTCATTTGGTAGCATTTAAGCCTATAATAGGATGCCTAGACCTGTTTTTATTTTATTTTTTCGCCCTGTCGCTTCATATTTTTTCGGAAAAAATCCGAGAACCAACAAATTGAATTGGTGTGGCCTCAGGTGCTTCCACCTCATTTTTGGTAGTTCTAATAGAAATGGATGGTTTGATTAATGTGGTCAATTTAATGTCACTATTCCCAATAGAAGCACACAGAGTGAAGTTTTCTGATGTATTTGAGGTAGTACTGAATCACCATGGGATCTCCCTCGGAAGTGTCTTTGTGATTTTCATCCTGCATAATTTAAAGCTTTAATCTCCTTTTCCACAGGTGTGCTTTTATTTAGAACTCTGCATTTAACTTTGCTTTCTAGTATGACTTATTTAGTATTCATTATAGATTCCCTTGTGTGAATCCATATTGCCATTTTTCCTTTCTCACCATCAAATCTCATGACCCTCAGAATCTTCTCTATCTTTCTGTTAACAACTGTTAGTGGGAAATATTAAAACAACAAACCTTTCAAAAAATAAACTCAGGTTTGTCTTGCAGCAAAATAACAACAACAACACAACAAATATGTACATGTATTTGTAGTAGAAATTATTTTTGTATACAGATCTGTCATGTACCATAAATGTATGTACCATCACATTGCTAATCACCTTAACACAATACATTTAAAAAAAAATGAAAGTACAAACAGCTTGCACACAGCAAAGATTGATGTGTAGTTTGTGATGTGTATCATTTTTCCCAGGAATGTCCATCCGAGCAGTGTGCTGGGGAGGGGACAGGATACTTGCTGGCACACAGGACAGTGAGATCTATGAGATTGCTCTGAGAGAAAGAGACAAGCCCAAACTGCTCATGCAGGGACATGCTGAAGGGGAGCTATGGGGCCTTGGGGTTCATCCAAAGCAGCCTCTCTTTGTAACAGGGAGTGATGACCACAGTGTGAGGTTCGTCAGTTTGTTATGGTCTACACCAGTCACATTCTTTTACCCTGGTTTTTGGCTAGACATTTCCTGCTACTAGCGGGTTGTGACTGTGGAATTTTGTAGGGGGTAGATAAGAAAGTAAAGTTATTACTTGGTTTGGTTATCCGTGTGTATTACCTATACCTAGTGGTGCATACCGGTTCACTGGACTTGGATCCGGACTTGTAAAAATGTTTAGGTTCAAGTCCAAAAAAAACTAAAAGTCAAGAACCGAGTCCGGACTTATTACCATAAAAGACCATTTCACATACCCCTTTTCTTTTTAAACCACCTAAAACCCTCCGTAGATTCCAAAATCTTTGCTGCAAAATGAAGAAAACATTGCCATCGGGCATCGTCAAGTACCAGCCTCCATTTTATGTGGCCAAAGTTTCACCCAGACAACATTGCAAGGTTGCCAACGTGCAATTTTGTACATGCCATGGGTTTAGGTCCGGACTTAAGTCCGGACCTGAACCTAAACCTCTGGACTTGAATCCGGACCTGAACCTGAAATTGGGTTTAGGTATGCATCACTACCTATACCTGATACTGCTCCATTTGGCACACGGTTTATGTTCAGCACTAAGCCCAGTTCTTAATGTCAAGAGTTATCCAAAGCTATTACCATGGTACATGTTGTGGTAAAAGATAGCTTTACATGACTTAATTGTGTATTTTTGCTGGAAGGTAATAAACTTAAGTTAGTAAAGAGTATTCAAATACTGTACATTTGAATTATTTGAATCATGGTAGTAGATACTTAACGAGACTTAACTTCTAGACTAATACAGATCTTAAATGTATTGTCATTGATCCTTGAATGTGATTAGATGTACAATGTAGATGTAACAGCTGAAAACATAAGACCTTTCTTGCTTTGTTGTGCAGGTTATGGAGCATGTCTGATAACACACTGCTTGCACGGTGCAACATGGACCAGGCCGTGAGATCCCTTGCTTTCAGTGCAGATGGCGGCCATCTTGCTGTTGGCATGAAAGATGGAGGCTTTACTGTCCTAAAAACTAGGTATCAGCAGTCTCTTATTCTGGTACCATCTGAAATGAATGAATGAGAAACAAGGATAATGAAAGGGAGGGGATTTGAAAGGTCCAAGTTAAGAGAAGGATTGAAGTGTCCTTGAACATACAGGTACAATGTATAGTGGTGGCCCTGAAGACAAAAATAGACCCTCTGGGGAGGAACTTTGTGCAATGGATCAAGGTAGAGCTAGATGAGGTGTTTGCAAGATAAAGGAGAGGAAAAGGGAGAGATGGACTTTTTTTAATGATTTTACACCTCACTGTCCTGAATAGTTAAGTGTTGTCCTGCAGTGTGTTGTGATCACTGCACCACCTGCTGTACATGTTGCGAATAATCACCTACTAAAGGTAGCCTAATAGTATCTAACGTTGCAGATTCCAAATTCAAATTCATACAAATGCATAGAGCTATTACAAATTTTCTTCGTCAATCGTAAGATATCCAGTGAAATTTATTCATAGAAATCTGATTACATTCACCAAAAAAGACAGTGTCTATTTGGTCATTGCTGGGTAATACCTTACTGGTAAGAATATTATGTAGTATCCCACTTTATGCAGGGTTGTTGTAATAGCACCATGCAGGTATGCAGGGTTGTTGTAATAGCACCATGCAGGTATGCAGGGTTGTTGTAATAGCACCATGTGGATTGACTTGGTGCGATATATGTGGCACATTATCCCCAGAATTGCAGCAGTATTGGTCCTGCTGCACTGTTATATGTCTTTGTCAGTGTGTTTATATGTGCTGTATTCATTTTCTTCAAATTTACCCCAGTTGCTCTTAGTGAAATATTTAAGCCTGATATCATTATATAGCCTAGGTCATTCTGGTAAAAGGTTGATTCTATTAAAACCTTTGTTGCATGTGGACAGAATTACTAGAAATCAAGGTGAATAGTTGATGTGTGCTATTTTGTGGTGTAAGTGGTGTTTAAAACTCCATTATCTGCAATAGTGGCACCTCTTACATAATGCACATTGCCTTGCAGATCTCTGCACATTATTGTGAGAGGCTAGTGACATTTGGCATGGTCATTGAACACCTTTGTCTGAAGACTACTTCCTCCACTCCTAATCAAATATCTCACCATTTCAACAATGCAATGACTACATTCAGAGGGATGGCTACAGTTTGGTTATGGGGCAAATATATGTATGTCTTCCTCAAAATATGGCTGCAAGACCTGTCGGTTACTAAATGTGGTAACATAGTAAGAATAGTAAGAATTGCTCAAAGTGAATTGCTCATACATCATGCGAGAACAGTTTAATTACAAATGTGTATTTTTGCCCCCATGCACCAAGAAAATGAAAGCTTTTCTCAATCTGTTATCAAATTAAAATTCTGATGAACACAAGTACAAATGTACTTGAATAGATAACTTATTGGTTATGTGCTCAGATCAGGAATATAATATTCAATGTCCTATGTCTCATGCATGTAATGACACATCCAGCAAAGAATATTTTCCTAAAGAAAAGCGTACTCTTGTAGTATAATATTGTCATTACTGGTAGTGTGCTCCTGTGCTATTCTTTTCTGCCCTCAAGAATGAAATTGTTGCCCATTTAAGTCCTTGATCCGACTGAAAACTAGCTATGGCCAAACCAAGCCTTTAAGCTGATCATTGCCTTTACCTGCACATCTACACCATTTCATTTTGGATAGAATGAGTCCATTCATTGGCAATTGGGGCAAAGGTCACTGGTCTCCTCATCAGTAGGGCATGGGGCAGAATCATTTGCATCCATCGTTGGTCCACACTGCATCACCTCCAATAGACATGGGGATTAGTTTTAAGCCAGGTTCACCTCTGTGCTTTTATGCTCAAATTACTGTGGAATGAGCTGAGGTTTTGAAGATCTTTGCTCAGTTATATTCTACTTAAAAGGCTACAACATTTGGTTGGTACCAATTACGTGTACCACTTCTTTCCAATTCTTTAGATCTCCGCATTCCAATTTTGAAATAGACATTGCTGATGCTGGCGTACAAATAAGACGATTTGCCTAAATGTGTTGCAATTGCAGATGAAGTTATAGCACTGCAGGTTCACTCCACAGGACTCATTATACATGCAGCACTAACATCAAGGCTTACGCAGTGTGACTTTTAAATAAATTCATATTTGGCTCACAGACAGCTAGTGTTACAGTGATACTGTAGCAAACCAGAAGCACATCAGCTGAATTTAGTAATTTCAAACCTGACTGCACACTTGCATCCTTCAAATTTCTGAGGCTGCTTGATTATCCTTAATGCATGTTTGACCTCATTTTTGTGACATTTATGTGATTATGGGAAATAGAACTGCCAGGTGCTTATTCCTACTCATGACATTAGTATTGGTAATCATTGTTGCTATAAGATGACAGCAGACAAAATTTTATTTTGTTTACATAATCCTTGGGAAAGTTAAATACAGTATAGCATGTCGTAGATATGTATTTTGAATAATCATGTGTCTGTTTTGCTCCCAGCTCATTATGAAACTTCATCCTAAATATACTCATATCAGTACATCAGGCACTTTAGCTTCCTTTTGATAACCTTACAATGTGAGATGTAAATTTTAGCCCTAATATTTATACTCCCATTCCACCTGTCTTACAGGGATTTCTCAGAAGTCATTCATGTAAAGGAGAGAAAAGAGGCCGTGCATGAGATCCGATACTCTCCAGATGGAAACTATCTAGCTGTCGGGTCCAACGACAACTTTGTTGACATCTATGCAGTGGGGCAACACTACAAGAAGGTGGGCCAATGTGGGAAGTCCTCCAGTTTCATCACGCACATGGACTGGTCAGAAGATAGCAAGTACTTACAGACAAATGATGGGGCTGGAGAGAGGCTGTTTTACAGAATGCCAGGTAAGACTTTTCCGTCAGTTTCTGCAAGACATTTTGATTGGAACATGAGACTGATGGGTGATGGGTTTACTTGCATACAAATGTCCCACTGCAATCTGTGGTACTTGATCTATATGTGTATTTATGTCTCTAGGACCAGGCTACTGAGTGATGGTAATATTGTTGATGCAACATACCTCTTTACCTTCAAGGAATGATGTTTATCTTTAAGATCATTTGCACAAGCATGTAAAAGCAATATACTGTTTATATTGAGCAAATTCTCCACGGAGCAAGATATTGCAAATATGAGTTGCCTTGTGTATATAAGAGTTTGATGCTAAGATGTTGCACCTGTTTTTATAGGCTCTTGGTACCTAAGAGGATTAGATGTCAGAGAAAGCATTGTGCACATGATGTCTACAATTCTGTGATAAATGTCACAATCAATGTCCAATGATAAAACGTAACACAGTAAAGTTTTATGGTGCAGAGATTGTGGTTATTTATACAGTGATAGGACTGTACTTTGGCTTTTGAGATGTAGGTACTTTTTGAGCATAAAATGGCTGAGTGATTCCCTGTTGTGGAAAAGCTTTTAATGTCTTACATGTACATGTACCAGCAACATAGCCGCAGTGGCATGGGGCCAATGGTGTGGCACTGTGCAAACTTTCTATGCCAACAAAGTGATCATAATCATTCTGTGTTTAGCATGACAAAGTCGATATCTTGTCTGCTACCTGGAAAGATCAATAACATTGTTCTCTATCATTTGTTGTCGCAACAAAATTGATTCCCAATGCTCCCTCTGGGACTCTTCATCCTCGTATATTGCTTCTGCACAAGACAAAGGTGCTTTAGGATAGGTGTGCTGTGACACTGACAAAGTGCTGGTGCATCCCAGCGTTGGCCTCCCCTATCAGACAGCCAATATTGTGGTCTGCCCTTCCTCACCTTTTTGAGAGGAAGATATGAGCACTATGCATCTTTGTCGTAAGTTCTGTGATAAGCACCGAAGTGTGGACAATCGTAAAGTCCCTGAAGTGGGCATAAGGAAGCATGCGAACGGTATCCAAATCCCATCTCAGAAGACATCAAATTTCAGGTCGTTTTCTTTCCAAATCAATACTATTTGAAGACATAAGATTTTTCCAAGCAGTGAGGCATGGCATGACTTACGTGTATGAAATTGCCAGTGTCATCAAGTGTAGCCACACATTATAGGATGGTACAGTACGTGTGATAGTTTTGTCAGGTACCAATTTATCCAGCCATGAGATGGGGCTATTACCAGTATAAAAACATTACAGTCATTACAATTTTGTATTCCCTCTGAAGGTTTTTTTAAGGTTAATAACAGAACCAATATTGTCTTCCTATCATATAAGTAATGTTAATGCTCAGAAATACCAAAGTAAGATGACCTACAGGTATCCTTTATAATCTGCTGAGAATGAATTGTACATTTCAATGTCCAAACAATATTTCTATTGTTCACTTGTATATTTTATTATTTTTAGGGTGCAACATACAAAAAGTCCTTTAAAACAATTGTACTATGCATGCTGATTTTTAACATTCCACCATGGCATTGCAGCTGGAAAGCAAGTGACCAACAGAGAAGAAATCCAGTCCATCCACTGGGCTTCCTGGACATGTGTTATTGGTCCAGAAGTAAACGGCATCTGGCCCAAATACTCCGATGTCAATGATATCAATGCCACAGATGCTAGCTTTGGGCATGAGGTAGTTGTCACTGGGGACGACTTTGGCTTGGTGAAGATGATGAGATTTCCCTGCCTTAAGAAAGGTGAGTTCGTCAGTTAATCTGATGTAGTCCATCAGCTTCATTCTAAAACAGTAATGGTTGGTGTAGATTGGGCACACTTTTTTCCACGGTTCATTCTCAGGTTGCACTGTATATGAAATATTGCAATGACATGGAAAATACCAGGCTTAAGTTAGACACTGATTATTAACAACATGAAGAACTTGTGAACCTGGGATTAACAGCAGTGTGTGCCCCCAAGGATCATCTTGACATGTAATAAAGCTAGCTTCAGATTCTAGTCTTGTCTCCTGCACAGCTTGGCCTTTCATAGATTTATACTGCATGGGATGTAACAGTTTTGAAAACTTCATGTCAGGAGTGAGTCAAAGTTTCCCACAACTCTGTATGATCGCAGCCTCTTATGCATTTCAAGAGATGACCATATAAGTGAATATTGGAAACATAAGGCCACAATTTTGTATTCAAATCATGATGTTTGTTGTCAAGGGACTGTCTACCATGCGAGTCATTTATCTTCTTCCAGTATTTATTGGATCCTGATAAAAACATGAACCAACATTTATGGTAACTCAAACCACCAGAGATTTGCATCTTGATCCAATGCTTATCTCTATATTGGAATCCAATTTCATGAACATGAGAGTGTTTATAGCAGTTTTGGCAGCAGTTGCTTTGCAATTGGCAACCTATAAGTGACCTCTTATCAGTCCTCGAAATATGTACTTACTGTATATACTGATTATACTGCAAACTATTTTTAGTAGTTAGACATTGTAAAACAGAAACTATGAAATGTACTCTTACAGCTATAACTAAACATTCTATAACATTTGGGTTTATCATGCTTTCATTTGTTCTTCTTAATATTTCCTCAGGTGCCAAGTTTAGAAAGTACACCGGTCACTCCGCCCATGTGACGAACGTGCGATTTTCCCACGACAACTCTCGAGTAGTGACAGTGGGGGGAGGGGACCACTCCATCTTCCAATGGAGGTTCATCCCAGAAGGAATGGATGGAGACATAGGTGCCAATTCAGGTAACAGTTCCAAGAAGATAAAATTCACTTGTACATCAGTACTTTTATATTACTGTTTGTCTTAATTGTCTTTCATTTGAGAAAGAGATGAGAGCACAGAGGAAGAAGAAGAAGAATAGTGCATGTATCTGTATTTTGTGTAGCCTGCCTCTATGCTAAGGGCTGCAATGGATTTACTTTTTATGTCCATCTAATATGGGCCCTATCTTGGCTGTCTTCCTGCAGTAGAATTGATTGTAAACTACTGACATGTAATTGCCTCCTTCATATGCAGAGCTGCAATCACAGTCTGTAGAGCAGGGGTGATTTATTATTCCACTCAGCATTCTGTTTGTACTGTGTACTAGAATTGTATGCTTTATCAGGGAGCAATTCACCCGGGAGCTGTATGAGGGAACTTACATTTCACCACCTAGACATATTCAGCATTTTTCAAAACTTTAAATCAGTCTCATCGTGTATTGGTTAGATGAAAGTAGGAAGGGCACATGATGTGTACTTGGAAGAATACATTTACATGTAGTATACAAATGTATGTCCATGATTCCAGGCTATGCAGATTCTAACAGCGAGGAGAGTGACTCGGATCTGTCCGACGTGGATGAGCTGGACACAGACATCGAGCAGGAGAACCAGATCAGCTATGATCGAGCTGTCTACAAGGAGGACCTCCCTCAGCTCAAGAAAAACATCAAGAGAGACAAGACAGGACAGAAGAGGAACAAGGCTCCAGAAGAAGGCATTAAGTTAGAATTTGTACATGGGTAAGTGCTTGTGTATTACATACAGGTTTTTGCCACTATGTTTAACCATTAGCTTACATTTAGTCATTCAGAAATAATGATAGGCACAAAATGATGTTTCAAAATGGTATTTCCGATCTGTTCCTATCAGATGCAAACATGTTCATGGTATCCCAGTAATCAACACTTACTGTACTTCTGATACATATTGTGTACTGTGACCATTTGAAACTGCTGTCTTTCAGTCAAATATGTAATAACACATATAAGAAGATCTCACTTTTATGATGCCTTCCCTAGATACCACAGAATGTTGGCATATTTATTGGTTTTATACTGGCGTCCTTTTATTCCCCCTGAAACTGAACACCGACTCATGGTAGCAGAATTCCCTGTGGTTTTGTCCAAGGTGCTGAAAAGGTAGCTTCTGAGCAGCCACTGCCTAGAATGTTCTTGTGGCCCCCACAATGCAGTCTTCATCAAAGCCAGATCTTGGCGTTCTTATTCCATTCATAATTAACTATAGATGCCAGCATCCTCTAGATTATTTAAGTAAAACCCAGCAGGAACTGCCCTGGTCAACATCAGGATGAATCCCTTAGTTGGGTGGGTTTCTATTGTGACAAAAACATTCCCTTTGAAGTTGTTGTTGAAAAGGGCCCCTATAATCCCACAGCCAAGTTATGGAACATTGACAGGTATGATCAATGCAGTCCCTGTTGAGTTAATTGGTAATGGCCATCACAACAGGGAGCCATATTGAACTATTCCCTGCTGTGTAAAAACATATACAGTGCGCCGTAATCATGTTTCCTCTTTATGAAGAAGCCAGACATGGTTTACTATCTGTCATTTTCCAGTCTTTGTTGTAGCTCCATTTCTCTGTTAAGGTGAAACATGGTAGGATTCCATCCCAAATACATGGGATTAAGTGTTGTTCTCCCAGAGCCCCAGCACTTTTCTACATTGTCTTTTATTCAGGCCTTTTAAAATGTTTTATGGGACAAACGTAGAACAACGTAAATCTGTGCCCAGACGTAATGATGCCTTGTGAAATTTATCAACCTATAAATGTGAAGGAATTTGATTATATTTTGACAAGACTATCATTTATCACCCTTGAAACTGTGCATTATTGCCCTATTTGGCCAACCATGTGAAGTCTATTCAATATACGTCTTTGCCATCTTTCAGCTTGTTTTTTCTGGACACAAAAAACCAACAGCCCAAGATGCAATTTTGCTTGGAGAAACAAAAATCACACATATTGAAAAAAAACCTTTGTTATGAATTATTAGCTAGATATAGTTTTGTCCAAATGTGGTATGTAAAAGCCTTGAGAATGTATTCTTTCATTTTTCCTTGAAGATAGAAAAGCCTACAGCCCTTTGACATCCACCTCTTATGGTGTACCATACCTTTGAAAGTGCATTACTGACATTTCCTTTCAGTAACTGAACTGGTAGGCCATTACTCAGGTCCTATAGTCAGAACTGCATGGATGGTTTTGAACTGTATCCATTCATTCCTCCATACTTTTTTTGAAACCAAGGATACTTCCGGAAGCCATGAGAAATGGGAAACCCTGCAGTTCTGACATGAAAGACGAGCTGTGGCCAATGGGTACAGAACCTTTAGAACTTCCCATTTATGGAGGTCAGCTCAATTACACATACAGATCAGATGATAGGATGTGATATATCCAACCCTAATGCTGGGGAAATTGAACTGCTTGGTTCCCATCCCATGTGTCCACAGAGATATAGGGCTGTTTTATCAGTGTAAACTCCAGGTCGTTAAATGTGTTGTTACATGTCACTTCAGGTACCGTGGTTACGACTGCCGTAACAACCTGTTCTACACCCAGACCGGGGAGGTGGTGTACCATGTGGCAGCTGTAGGGATTGTGTACAACAGGGATAACCACTCACAGAAGTTCTACCTGGAACATACAGATGACATACTGTGTCTCTGCATACATCCCCTGAAGGACTTTGTCGCAACAGGACAGGTAATGCAATACTGTATAGAATTGTGGATTTCACACAAATATTGTTGTAGACTGAACGTACAGAGGATTCCGCATATTTGTATAGCCCATTTGTCAGCGCATTTTATACAGTTACCCGGCCTATACGATAGGCCGGAATAGCACTAAAGGCGGGCCGAAGGGGAGGGGAGGGGGGTATAGCAACGAGCATAATTTACACTAAGACAAACAACGCACTCACGATCTCGTATGCCCCAACTTTATTCGTAAAAATGTATTCATGTTACAGTACAAATATTAAAAATCTGAACTGTCTTTTTTTAATCTTTCAAATACAACGAGAGTTCTTAAAAATTGATCTTCAACGTTACAGCCGATACACTAGTAAAGATCTTGCAGCCAACAACAACAACAAGCCATCCATGCTCGTGTTCGCCGGCTCCACTCAACATGAACATAATTTACATGATAAACTCGATGTACGAATTCATATTTGTGACTTTACAATAAAGATTTTTGATCGATGGATAAGTTAGAATTCCTTGCAAAGGGTTTACTAAAAATGGCTACGTAACAAACAGTTACGCTGAAACATAAACAAGGAGTACATCGACCGGCAAAAATCCTTCAGAAACTGTCTGTAACGTTCTGAATCAGTACCGTAACGATAAAAAATCGAACAAGTAAACCTGTCGCTTGATAGGTCACAACTCCTTGGCTTAAAAAATCGACAAACTAAAGAAATTTCTGAAGTCGGCGGACGTCTCAAAACAAGAACAAAATTTCACAACATGGCGCCGCGCGGTGTGGGTCACGCTATCCCGTCAGACACTGCGTTCGGGTCAGCGGCGGTTCATTCACGATGCGTAAAATAAATTCTCAAGCGGAAATAAAGTGATTTAATTCCATCCAGTGAATAAATTAACATTATGGGAACACGCAGGACCTCGGCAAAACTTTTCAGAACAAAATTCAGGCCGGGTCCTTGACAATCATAGGCCGTTTTGCGGTACCGCCGACCGCCGGTACCGCCCGCGTTCGGGGCGGGGCATATCTCTATGTAGTGCCGACTACCACCGGGGCCGCTCGCGCGCCGGCAGACGCACTAAAGTTTATAAGAAAACGTCATTCTTTGTGGCCCTAAACACTCATTTTTAAAATTTTTTGGTGGTCCTGTGTCTTTATACAGGCACTTAACTGTCCATTTGGCCATCCTTGCTAACATTTAATGTGTAGACCCGTGTCATTATACGATCTAGTCGGACCAAATTCTATACGATACGCCGGAATATACGATAATGCGTTATACAATTATGCATTGTTTTTACAATGGTGTGAATGGTAAATGGTTTGGTGTTTTAGAATTCTATACAATTACCCGAATTATACGAATAAAAGGTATACAAATAAGTGGAATCCCCTGTATTAACAACTAACCTGCAACTGGCTGCAAGTGTTGCCAATAATGTTCCCTCAGTCCCAGGCATTAGACACATGGGGTCAAACCAAGTCCCTCTCATACCTCTGTGTTATTATATTCACCTGAATCCAGGCCATTAGGTACCCTTACTGGATAATGAGGCTGTCTTCGTGGTGTAGACAGTTTGGGCATGATTTTTCATAATTCCTGTAGTGATTTACCAAACTGTGCAACATGCTGGTCTATCATTGCCAGTATAAGGGTAATGAAAGTCAAGAACCTTTATCTTAGCCACTTCGTTGTTGGCTTCCATTCAAGTTGGTGATTGCAGCTGCTAAGTGTAAATAGTATTGCTGCCTTAGGTCACCAAGGTGGCAGGTATATGGACATGATGAGTGATGAGGCTATTGCTGCATCCCATTCCAAAACCCTGTAGGTACCAGCCATCTGTTAGTATTTTGATTTTAAACAGGCTGAGTATGGAGGCTGAACACTCCATATTGGAAAATACCTGGTAGGGCCAGAGATTAGCTTGTTTAAGAGGCAAGTTGCTATCAGTGAGTACATTGTACATCTCTGCTATCTGGAAACGACTTCTCTCTGTCTCCTAACACAATTGCTTCATATGGCAGTCACGTCACTAGGAAGTCAATTTTGTAGCACGATAATCATGTTGCTCTGGATGCTGCACTGTTAATGATAGTTAACTACCCTCATGTGGAATTAGTTAGTCCAGTATTCACAAGCAAGACCACCTGTGTAACATACAAGTTCCAAATTGACTTGTTCCTCAGAAGACTCCTTTCACAGGAAAACTGTTCAGTGCTTTTAAGCTTGCCTTGTAATTTGGATCAACACAAGTTGTCTGGAACCAAATTGCATTAACTAAACTGTGGCTACTTCCAAGGCCAGCATTAATCAAATTGATACAGTATCGTACAAACAAGAACTGTATTGACAGCTAGCAGCTGTGCAGTTGAGTGCTGAAAATGTTACAGAGGAGATGGCCATGACATCACACCCTTCTGACTGATCAAAATGGTGGTTTTATGGTGACAGTGGCTTTTATCAGATTTTGTATATTCAAATCAGATTACTTCTTTATTTTTTCTGCCTCGTATTAGTTTTATGCCTTTTTTTTATGGATCACACTGGTTGTGATTGTGTCCTCTTGGCTGCATGTATGGTGGTATCTCCTACGTTTGTGTACTATTAAAAAGTGAACTTCTTTTTGGCAAATTGACTAATCTTACCTCTTTTGAATTCTGTACAGCAAGCTTCATGTAGCACTTCCCCCAGAGTTTACCACAGGGCATCGTCTTTACGACCCTGTCTAAGCCATTATTTCTCCTAACAGACCGATACATCTACTTACACTCATATTTATGGCCAAGAAGCCCAGATAAACCACTTGCTGACGACGTAAACATTAAAAGCACTCAGGGAAGCATTATGTTCCAATATCCCTATTGACTACTGGGAGGACGGTCTTGTTCAATGTTACGGCTTGTGGTGTAGTTTTTTTTGGGGGGGTGCTAAAATTAGCTATTCTTTTGGACAATATGACAGTAATTTGAAACTTAGGGTCAATTATAGATTGAGAGAAGACTTAGATATTAAGTAATTTTCTGCCTTAGTTTCTTGAGTTAACAGAAGGTACAGATTTGTGGTACATGTAGTTATTTATCACAGTGACTGCAGATCTCCTTGTTGTATCCTACGGGTATAGAATGATCATTCTGAATGTCATGCTCTTGCCTTCAACAACAAATATCTCATTGGGAAGGTATTGGTACTTGACTTTGAATGTGGATTCCCCTTGTATAGCCTGGTGTTTAGGAAAAGTATAATACAGTTTAAACATTCAGTATGCATGTAGCTTCCTCAACAACAGTCTACAGTACTATAATGATAATCTAGACCTATGCTAGCTGCAAGATAGTCATGTAATCATCACGCCTGATTGGCTGACTGGGAATCAGAGAGGATGACCTTGGATTAACTGGGACCATCTGCTATCCTTGTAATTGGTAATCATTCAATCAGGGAATAACTCAGGAGAGGGAGGAACATGCATCTTCATTAAATTCAATGTGCTCTGCAGTATTATCTTTCGACTGCAGTATTATCTTTCGAGTGTGATAACCTGCTCGCTATCATTAAGCCTGGAAAAGAAATAAGCTTGCATTACATTCTTAATAATAATGTTGTGTTACTAAGTAAACCTAAAACACTACCATTTAGGAATGACTATTAACTTGTAGTTATATATAATGAATTGTACATTGAAAATTTCCTGTAGAGATTTCAATGCAACAGTCTATCACAAACTAGAATATTACTGAATAAGATTTCAGATGACCTGTGTTGTGACATGTTGAGTTTTTGAACACTTGTCTTCTGCACTCACAGATACTCCAATATTTGCTGTTACGTCTCCCAGCACTGTACGTGCAGCTTTTAAATTGAATGAGATTGGCCAGCATTTGATAAGACTTCTTCCTGTTGACAGGTTGGCAGAGACCCAGCTATCCATGTCTGGGACACAGAGACAATGAAGCCGTTATCTGTACTCCGGGGAGGCCATCAGAGGGGGATCTGTGCTGTAGACTTCTCTGGTGAGTAGTCTGCCAATAAAATAAAAAAGACTTACAGTGCACCACACAAGTCACAGAGGGCTCACTTGGTTTGGAGATGTTGCCAGAGGGTACATGATGGATGGCATACATTTACTTAGTGTCATACATTTGTACTTATATATGTTGAGTTCACAAGCACTCAGTGAAATGGGGATGGGAAGGGTTGAGAGTTCTAGCCTTGTGTTTTTAAAATCGATGCTACATGAATCTTCAATTCCATTCAAGTCATTTCATCTTTTTTAGGTTCACAGGTCGATAGACACTGAAAAAAAAAAACGGTAGCATTAACAATCACAAGAGAAATTAACATTAAGAGCATGTGTAGTAACCTGTTTATGTTCCACAGCTAGGTGCTTCTGTTAAGAAGACATTCCTACCTATGTGGGTGATAAACTCTTTGTCTACTTCCTTTCAATATTTGTCTCATCTAACATTCCATAAGTATTCATTGAATCTTCCATGCATGCTGATCGCTAGACTGTTGTAATGTGCTCTGATATTTTGTGACACCAAAAATGTAAAATTCCTTTGCCTTTGCACTTCCCAGACGGTTTCCCCTCTGCAATAACCTGGTCCCATAGCTAATTTCCCTTGAGGAAGAGCGGGATCTCTTTTAAGTTAGGCTCTAAACTGAGCAAAATGAAAGTGCTGTTAGTCCTATTGATTTTGAGAGGACCAGGCCCTGTACTGATTCAGAAGTAAATGGCAATAAAGTTTTAATGAAGGAACATGAAAGATATTTCTTACAATGTTCACTCACTCACTCACTCACACAGACATGCACACACTGACACATACATACACATGCATACATTCACACACACACACACACACACACACACACACACACACACACACACACACACACACACACACACAGACATACACACATATAAAGTGACAAATGTGTTGAGCAGACTGACAGTCTGACTGTCTCATACATAACGTGTACATGTGAAAACTTGCATATCGGTGCACGTATGTTAGATAATTGGTTTTGGCATGTGACTTACTGTGATAGTACAAGAATGTTGCTGAGCAAGCATTATTTATGATGTATTTTCCAATGTAGAACATCTGCATGATTGCCCTAGATTATTCACTTAGCGCATATCAGCAGTCATCCAGATAGAATTTTTGACGCCTCTGGTTTGCACTTTGTAATTCTCCTGGTTGGTTATCCCCATCAATAAATCAATCAGAAGCCACATAGGGCATTGGAGAAATGGTTAAGGACCTCTAACAGCTCCTAGTCAAACTTGAGCAAGTGGTCAATATTTCATAAGGGGCCAAGCAATGTAAATTGCCTGAAGCCTAACTTTGCCAAATCAATTTTGGAAAAGATTCATTGTGTGCCTTATTATTAGTCTAACCTGTACATGTACATGTAAGTGTGGTTTGGTTGAATTTTGTTGAAGACAACTTAAACATGAAACACACCCTAAATTTGTAGTAGACAATTTGATGTGTGATGTGAAAAATGTTAAACATTCCACAACTCAGCATAAATGTGGACTGCAAAATTCAATTTCATCATATTCAATACCCTTGAAAGCTGATGTCTTAGAACATACTGGTCTGTAGTGTGGTGCTAGAAAGAGAATACATACTATGTAAATTTACTAGTTTCTGCCAACACTTGAATAATGCTTATTTGCCTTATATCTTTCTGCAGGGGATGGGAAGAAACTTGCAAGTGTAGGACTGGATGATAATCACAGTATTGTGATGTGGGACTGGAAGAAAGGCGAGAGGCTGGCCACCACACGGGGCCACAAGGACAAGATCTTTGTTTTGAAGTGCAATCCACATAACACTGACCACTTAGTTACTGTTGGAATCAGACACATCAAGTTCTGGACACAGGCTGGGGGTGGATTCACCTCCAAGAGAGGCACCTTTGGANTTTAAATTGAATGAGATTGGCCAGCATTTGATAAGACTTCTTCCTGTTGACAGGTTGGCAGAGACCCAGCTATCCATGTCTGGGACACAGAGACAATGAAGCCGTTATCTGTACTCCGGGGAGGCCATCAGAGGGGGATCTGTGCTGTAGACTTCTCTGGTGAGTAGTCTGCCAATAAATAAAAAAGACTTACAGTGCACCACACAAGTCACAGAGGGCTCACTTGGTTTGAAGATGTTGCCAGAGGGTACATGATGGATGGCATACATTTACTTAGTGTCATACATTTGTACTTATATATGTTGAGTTCACAAGCACTCAGTGAAATGGGGATGGGAAGGGTTGAGAGTTCTAGCCTTGTGTTTTTAAAATCGATGCTACATGAATCTTCAATTCCATTCATGTCGATTCATCCTTTTTAGGTTCACAGGTTGATATCTGTATTCTGTATCTGTATCTGTATAGCCGGTATAACCGCCTTTCGGCGTAACACACCAGCTTCGCAGGCACGCGGCGCGGCGGCAGCTGGCTATATTACACCGATCGACTTGTTACACCTAACCCTTGAACTTCTAGCTCTAGACATTGTTTAAAGCTATCTATTGACAATGCCCCTACTGTACTTGGTGACAGTGAGTTCCACTCTGCGATAGTTCTAGGAAAGAATGAATTCTTGAACACCTGATAGACACTGAAAAAGAAACGGTAGCATTAACAATCACAAGAGAAATAAACATTAAGAGCATGTGTAGTAACCTGTTTATGTTCCACAGCTAGGTGCTTCTGTTAAGACATTCCTACCTATGTGGGTGATAAACTTAGCCTGGGTACCATCCCCAGTAGTATATTCGCAAACTCTATAACTGGGTCTGGACTTGCACACATATAAAACGATTGGTCATGACGTCACGTAATGAGCTAGCCCGAGCAGCGGGGCTTCATTTGATTGGCTGAGCCTCCGAGGCGACGGCCAATGGCGCGCCTGCATTATTCAAGTGATGTTTGTTGTTTTGTAAACACAGATCTTCGCGCGAGTATTCCTTTTCTCGGTGCGTTCTTTTTTTACCGGTAGGACGCCCAAAACATCACGAACAAAATTATTCAATGCATCTTTTTGCTCATTTTTGAGCTACGATATTCCGTCCAAATCGTCCAAAACGGACGTGATTGCGAGGTCAACATCAACCTCCGTGAGCTGAGCGGCTTGTGCGTTAGCCATGTTGATGATTTATCACAGAAAGACTGACTACGGCTATATCATGTGCGCTTTAGCGTTCGGTTCGCCGTCGGACATGTTGATGATAAGGCGTTCGGACGTTCGAACGGACGCTAACGTCGCCGTTCGGACATCCGAACAGCCCTTACCTAATATGTACACACCCAAAAAAGGGCTTAGACGAGTAGGACCAATCAGCGCGCTCGTTCAAAATCTGAACGAATATTTAGACTCCAGACGCTACATATGTGTGCAAGTCCAGACCCAGTTATAGAATTTGCGAATATACTACTGGGGATGGTACCCAGACTATGATAAACTCTTTGTCTACTTCCTTTCAATATTTGTCTCATCTAACATTCCATAAGTATTCATTGAATCGTCCATGCATGCTGATCGCTAGACTGTTGTAATGTGCTCTGATATTTTGTGACACCAAAAATGTAAAATTCCTTTGCCTTTGCACTTCCCAGATGGTTTCCCCTCTGCAATAACCTGGTCCCATAGCTAATTTCCCTTGAGGAAGAGCGGGATCTCTTTTAAGTTAGGTTCTAAACTGAGCGAAATGAAAGTGCTGTTAGTCCTATTGATTTTGAGAGGACCAGGCCCTGTACTGATTCAGAAGTAAATGGCAATAAACTTTTAATGTAGGAACATGAAAGATATTTCTTACAATGTTCACTCACTCACTCACTCACTCACTCACTCACACACACACACACACACTGACACATACATACATACACACACACACACATAGACACACATATAAAGTGACAAATGTGTTGAGCAGTCTGACAGTCTGACTGTCTCTTACATAACGTGTACATGTGAAAACTTGCATATCGGTGCACTTTTGTTAGATAATTGGTTTTGGCATGTGACTTACTGTGATAATACAAGAATGTTGCTGAGCAAGCATTATTTATGATGTATTTTCCAATGTAGAACATCTGCATGATTGCCCTAGATTATTCACTTAGCGTGTATCAGCACTCATCCAGATAGAATTTTTGACGCCTCTGGTTTGCTCTTTGTAATTCTCCTGGTTGGTTATCCCCATCAATAAATCAATCAGAAGCCACATAGGGCATTGGAGAAATGGTTAAGGACCTCTAACAGCTCCTAGTCAAACTTGAGCAAGTGGTCAATATTTCATAAGGGGCCAAGCAATGTAAATTGCCTGAAGCCTAACTTTGCCAAATCAATTTTGGAAAAGATTCATTGTGTCCCTTATTATTAGTCTAACCTGTACATGTAACACTTACATGTAAGTGTGGATTGGTTGAATTTTGTTGAAGACAACTACAACATGAAACACACCCTAAATTTGTAGTAGATAATTTGATGTGTGATGTGAAAAATGTTAACCATTCCACAACTCAGCATAAATGTGGACTGCAAAATTCAATTTCATCATATTCAATACCCTTGAAAGCTGATGTCTTAGAACATACTGGTCTGTAGTGTGGTGCTAGAAAGAGAATACATATTATGTTTAACTTAATTTACTAGTTTCTGCTAACACTTGAATAATGCTTATTTGCCTTATATCTTTCTGCAGGAGATGGGAAGAAACTTGCAAGTGTAGGACTGGATGACAATCACAGTATTGTGATGTGGGACTGGAAGAAAGGCGAGAGGCTGGCCACCACACGGGGCCACAAGGACAAGATCTTTGTTTTGAAGTGCAATCCACATAACACTGACCACTTAGTTACTGTTGGAATCAGACACATCAAGTTCTGGACACAGGCAGGGGGTGGATTCACCTCCAAGAGAGGCACCTTTGGAAACATAGGGAAGCTGGACACGATGATGTGTGTAGCATATGGAAAGACAGAGGATTCCGTGTTTTCTGGAGGAGCCAATGGAATGGTATACATGTGGCAAGGAACAAATCTTTTGAAGACAGTCAAGGCTCATGATGGTCCAGTATTTGCCATGCATGCATTGGACAAGGTATATGTACATGTAATTTCCTGTATATAACAATGTACTTGTGGTAGTTAAAGAATGTGTATTTATATGTCCCATAATACCATAGATCAATACAAGTGCAAATAAAGAACTAGAGAATTCATCTAGCTAGTGGGAGTGTTTGTATTGCTCACTGCCATGAAAAGACCTGTTGATTTCAATGGCATATTGAAATGATTTAGGTTGTACACTTTTGTTTCAATCCCATTCCAAATCTGCAATTGGAATTGCAGTGCTCTCTGTGCAGATATGCCTTTGCCTTGATTGCATCGTTGTTGTTTTAATACTACAAATGTCTAGTTTTCAAATCCAGTTTTGTGACCTTTTAAATCCTGGTTGCAGGGCTTTGTTACTGGAGGGAAGGATGGAGTGGTAGGATTGTGGGATGACCAGTTTGAAAGATGTCTGAAAACCTATGCCATCAAGAGAGGTGCCCTGGCCCCCGGGTCCCGGGGAGTTCTGCTGGAGGACTGTCCATCAATCCGGGCCATCACACTGGGACACGGCCATATCCTGGTGGGAACCAAGAATGGGGAGATTCTGGAGGTAGACAAGAGTGGACCAATGAACATCCTTGTGCAGGTGAGTCCTCCTTGTACCATACTTAAAATGATTGAACCCAGGTACAGTATGTTATTGATGAGTTTCAGTGGTTATCCAGGTACTTAAATCACTGAGATTTTGTGTTCTGTGCACACAGGGTCACATGGAGAATGAGGTATGGGGCCTGGCCTGCCATCCAAGCAAGGACCATTGTGTGACCATCAGTGATGACAAGACACTGCGAGTTTGGGACCTGTCCCCAGAACACCGCATGTTGAATGTCAGGAGGTTACGCAAAGGGGGACGGTGTTGCTGTTACTCTCCAGATGGCAAGGCCATAGCAGTAGGTCTTAGTGATGGTGAGTTCTTGCACATACTGACCAGAAAATTCTGTCATGGTATTCTTTAGCAATTCTGGAATAGACTAGCCTCACCAATGGACAGTCAAAGGCAGAAGGAGTAATATTCAGTTAGGATTTGACCCTACATTCTACTTATTTATGAAATTATGTGTGCAAGAAAATTCCTTTTCATAAAACGAAATAACTTCACATTTCCCTCTTCTCCGCTCTGCTCTTTCAGGGAGTTTCCTGGTAGTCAATGCTGACACACTAGAAGACATGGTCACCTTCCATCATAGGAAAGAGAACATTTCTGACATCAGGTTTTCTCCAGGTAAGTAAATATTTGATAAAAATAGCCTGTTATTAGCAGCAAAATTCAGCATCTGCCATGAATTTGTAGATAGTTCATGCTGCAATATCTCTAATCATATTGGTGGCATGGCTATTGCTATTACTAAGACATGCACAGCTATGGTACATGTGTGATGGTCATGGTTTATTTCATTTGAAAAAGCTGAGACAGGGAGAGATTGTTTTGTTCGTTTTGAGTAAAATTTGTTTGATAGCTAAACATCAGAATAATTGAGTGCAGCTTTTGATATTTAGCCAGGAATAAAGGATTATTGAATATTTCTATTTTAGCAAATATGAAGTATTTGATAATGGCTGGTGTAGGAAAACATACAACATATATTTGATATCCACATCCCACTACAGACCCACTTCTATCTCAGGGTTTACAGTGACATGCTTCAGCTTGATGCCACTCCATGCCTCCAGCATGCTCCAGCATGCACCAGCATCTTGGGCAGTTGAGCAAAACTGTTTGTTGCTTGAAAGCTAAATTCTTTGTATCAGCATCTTTCCTGCACTTCTTTTATAGAAAGAAATACCAATGTACAGTTGTTTTGGCTAGACATTGAAAGAAGATAAGTCCCATTCCATTATTTTTTATGACCACCTGTGGGCTTTAATAAAACATTGTCTCCTTCCTTGCTGTAATACTGGCAATGCATATCCCTCAAAGGCTACTTTCCTCTGCATATCTGGAAAGTAACTTGGTGTACTGTGCACTGGTAAATGTCCCTGTTCCCAGCTGCAGCTTGCCCTGAGCCTGCAGACCTACACGTACATGGGAGAGCCCCAGGCTGCAGGGAGACTAATGCCAAAAGTACTGCTAAGTAAACTAAAGCACAGGGTTCTAGCCAAGTACATGTGGTCTGGCCACTTTTGAAGGATATTTTCCCTTCTTGAAGAACTCTCTTTGATATTTTTTTAGCTTTATCTTTTTCAACTTTTTTTTTCCAAATGATGTGCCATGCACACAACTTTTACTGGTAGCCATTTCTTTATTCCTTTTTTCAACCAAATTGCTCTAGCCCTTTTTGGCTAGAGCCCTGAAGACATTGTTACTGCATGATCCTGTCAGTGAGTCCATGATGGTTCACATGTGAGTGAAAATTGTGGAGTGTTCATCCACATAGCTGTCAAAAATGCACTTCCCAGCCCATACTACATCATCTTAGTCTTAGCAGCTTGTCTTTTTATTTAAACCCAGTAGTAAGTAGTAGTGCAATTTGAGTTATGTCCTTGGTACTGATATTTTTGTCAGTGTTTTGGAGTGCATTTTCTCACTGTTCCTCTGAATTCCATTGCTGACACAAATGTGAATTGTGACTGTGAGTAACCTGTATGATTGTTGTGTTGTGGTGGCACTATTTATATTTCAATGTGCACCACAGCACACTGTTTCTTGATTTATTTACAGCTATATGACCTCATTTGCAACTGTTTTGCTGAAACTGTTTTACTTTCTAATGAGATATCTTTCACCTTGTTCCAGAGCATTTTTTGTGGATACCCAATGTAAATTGATTAAAATGTCTGCGAACAAGACACGATACTATGGCACACACTATTACAAGCCAAGTAAAGTAGAACATGTTGTCTTGTATAAATCACAAGATTAAGTGGATAAACCAACTTTCTTACTTCCTTTAGATTCTATGATCATATCTAAGAATCTTTGTAGCTGTTTGGTATTCATGTTATCCATCCTCTCCTACAGACCCAGGAAAGTACCTTGCAGTTGCATCCCATGACAACTTTGTGGATATCTACAATGTTCTGAGTAGCAAAAGAGTGGGCATCTGCAAAGGTGCATCCAGCTATATCACACACATCGACTGGGACAGAAAGGGTAGGTACATTTGGATCATGGTTATCTTGGTAACATTCAGAAATTTATCTAAAGAGCACTGTTACATATTACACTGTAGTGTGTACCAAAGTTATGTTCTTTCATCCATTGTTTAGGAAAGTTGTTGCAAGTCAACACAGGTGCAAAAGAGCAGCTATTCTTCGAGGCACCAAGAGGCAAGAGGCAAACCATTCGGTCAACAGATGTGGAGCAGATTGACTGGTCCTCCTGGACATGTGTGCTGGGCCACACCTGTGAGGGGATCTGGCCTGTCCACAGTGATGTTACTGACGTCAACTCAGCATGTTTGTCCCACGACAAGAGAGTGCTGGCCACAGGAGATGATTTTGGCTTTGTTAAACTGTTTGAATATCCTGCCAAGGTAAGAAATCACAAAAAATGTGTGACCTTACAGCCTTGATTTCCTTATTCCAGCATCACATTCATAGTATACATTTTGTATTTCTCATAAGCAATATTTTCTGCATGCTATGACAATTGTCTGTGTGTCCTTTCTCAGGGGCAGTATGCCAAATTTAAGAAGTACATAGGACACAGTGCCCATGTGACTAATGTGAGATGGAGCCATGATGACAGGATGCTGGTGTCTGTTGGTGGTGCTGACACGTCAGTGTTGGTGTGGGCACACAACTCACCAGGCTCCAGGCAGAACGGACTCAAGGGGGAGAGTGAAGACTCTGAAACTGACTCTGAGGAGGAAGGAGGTCAGTCAGAGTTCTGTTACGATTGAAAAATCACCACATGTAGTATGCAGAACCACAAGCATTATGGTACATACTGGTATTACTCTGGTACAGTGTTGTTTCCTTTGTTTCCGAATAGTATATGTATTTTGTCACTGCATTTAGCATATTGTCTGTTGTTGCCACCACTGGAATGTCCTCTTGATTGACAGTCAGTTATTTGTTGTGTGATGTGTTTGCCCTGTAGGCTATGACAGTGATGTGCAGAGGGAGAAGGATATTGATTACACTACAAAAACCTATGCTGTAAACATCAGAGAAACAAGTGGTACCAAACCCCATTTACAGCAGAAACAGCCAACTGGAGAGGAAAGGTAAAAGTTCAATGGACAAATTAGGAAATTATTATCTTGGATACAAATATAATGCAACATTTAGTAGATGTTCACACATTGTTTCAACAGTTCATGTCCTTGGTGCTAGCAGATTGTTGTGATTACACAAAAGGGAGAAAACCTAACTGCACGAGTCAGTGTAAAATAGCAATGTATAAAAAGCTGTTTATACCGGTAGGTCTCTTATGTTCAGGTGGCCTGGGTACCATCTAACGAAGTTTTTCTTGCTTGTATAATTCTACAGTATGGTACACCACTGTTGCATGATTTTGCTTTGTGCTCAAGTTCTGTTTTATTCATGAAACAAAAGACATTTGTGTGCTGATGATTGTCTTCAATTGCTCTATTTCTTAGCTTATGTTTTACTGCTTTTCCCTTTGATATTTATTGCATTTGTATTTTTCCAACTTGACAACTTGATTCCTTATTTTGTCCTGTCCTTTCCTCCCCTCCTGTCTTTCTTCCACAGCTGTTATGAGGTCAGTGCTAGTCACAAATTGACAATGTTTTGTTATTGGTCATTCACTTGCCTTCTGGAGGAAGGGGATTGTGAAGTAAGTCTGGTTATGAGACAAGTTCTCTATATTTACCACAGTTTCTGTTTTAATCTAATGATAAAATAAATATATCTTAGATATTTGCTGACCAACTAATGGTGCTATATTACTCATGATCAGATGATTCATTGTTTATTGTAATTTGTGATATTCGTTCAAAGATATATTTCTATTGCAGTCATTAAGATTGTAGACTGAGGCTGCAGGTTTCTGTTTCTCAGTTTTGAAAGAAAGACAGTAACAGCTCCCCAATGCTGTGCAAGATTTTGGATGGATTTGTTACAATTAGACTAACATTACTGGAATGTTTGATTTAGAACCAAGAAATATAAATCAAGGGAAATGTTCTTATTTAATGAAATGCAACAAAGCATGATTTTATCTTTCCATTGCTTTTACTATATGTATTTTAAAAAGACAAGGCATGACAATATTATACAGTAATACTACTAATAGTGATATTCATGAGGATTGATTATAAAAAAAGATAGAGGAAAAGTTACACTCTTGATCTTTTACTCTACTTCTACTTGGGGATGCATTATTCTTGCAAAAAAAATTATTCTCTTTGCTCATGCTACTGATAAAGCTGCTAAGTCTGACTTACTACCAACTCACTACTTCTTCCCTTCTGCCTGCCAACACTCACAGAGGATCCAGGTATATTACCTTGGTCTGGTCGCAATGTTTTGTTTAAACAGTTAAACCATGAACGGTTTAAAGGTTTGTTGTGTAGCTAGTTTGAAAAATGTATCTGCATCTGTCTTTGTCAAAGTCATGTGGCAGTGTACTCACCTTAGGAAACACTTTGCACATGGGATTTAGAGCACCTGTAGAATTGTAATCATGTAACTAGACGCTATGCCCTGTAGCATGCATGAGTATATGTGGCTGGTTTTGGTTGAATAGATGGTCCTGAGATGGTCCTGGTTCTGTGTATATGGTTTTAAGGTTTGTACATGACAATGACAGGTTAAGTGTTTGAAGCTGGTGCTGGTTTTAGTAAAAGGGAAATAGGGGAATCTTCCATGTAGAGATTAAATGCATAGTTATATGGTGGGCATTATTTGAGCTCATGTGGAAATGAGACCGTCCTCAGGGCTCAGGGGGCCATGTGCAGGGAGTGGTTAAATCTTCTTAGGTTGGGATTGAGTTAAAGTGCTCATGACACCAAAATATGACCTTAGCTGATTGTAATTGACATAACTAGTATTACCTGACACATTTACAATAAATATGCACGGTTCTCCTGTTACATTCAAAATTGTAATGCCCTACCTTGGAAAAGTCAGCACAAGCCAGTTCTGGCAGGCAATTTGCATCTCTACATTTTATTTTTGCATATCTGTACTTTTTCCTGAGCTGATGTCACCCAGTGATATAAGCTCGGGATAAAAAGCACAGAAATGCAAAAATAAAACATAGAGATGCAAATTGAGGTGCCCGAAGTGGGCAATTGAGAAGCTTGCTAGAGAGTCTTCAAAAATCCACTTTTAGAAGGTCGTACAAGCTAAATTTCTCAGTCATCATGATTGGAATAAACTTCCAGTGACTATATTGTATGTACACTTCCGATATTTGTATGTATTTTACAGACTTTTTTTTGGTGTCATTTGGTCTTTAATGTCACAAGAATTCCTGGGGCGGGGATGGCCATGTCTTGGTGGTGATACAGGTAGATAATGCAGGATGTCTGCTGCTGGTGTTTTTTTAGTCTAGTCTTTTAGATGGTGTTACCTGTAATGAGGCCATTGTGGTAGATGGAAAAAGACAGGAGGCTTCCATTCATATCATCACCATCTCCAGCCTTTTTGCATGTATAAAATCCACTGCCTGCTCGCTGCACTCCTTTGTTTCCTCCAGCTACCATCACCCATTCAAGACCTATTGATTGACCTTACTGAAGAGGTCTGACAGCACAGTCCCAAACATGCATAATTCTACCTCAAGTACTGCCCTCCAGCCTACAAAGATGATTTTACTTTCAACTGTGGAGCATATGCTCCCAGAATGTAAATGCTAGTATTTCTGGATGGAGGATTCCCCAAATCCTACTTCTGCTAGCTGGTCTTGAGGTGTCAAATTTAACCAAGCAGGAACATGGTGTCCTTCCTTGGTGTCTGCAAAATCTTACTGTTCAAGGGACAATCATAAGACATTACAGTATATTTTATCATTATACCTTTAAGGTTTTTCACTGCTTTTTACTCCCCCTTCATCCAGGCCCACTGTCAGTAGGGGTGGAGCACCTACTCCCAGGGTACAGAAACTGGAGAAGGGAGAGACCAACAAGAGAAGAAAGGGAGTTGTGGAGGTAAGCTGCAGCCTCCTTAAGTGCAATATTGTACTTTCTTATACATGTATTGCTATTTTGTGTCCTTTCTCTCTTGAAAGTTTGAATCATATAAGTTTCCAGTAAAATAATTGACTGTATCTTCACAAATGTAAAGAAAACAGGACTCCCAGAAATAGTACTTATTTATGAATCAATGAGAAATACCAACTGATTTGATGTTATATGTGTATTGGATCAGGTTTTTCTCAACTTTACATGTATGACTATCTGATTCTTGCAGGACCTGGTGCTCACAACTATCCATGGGTACAGAGGGTTTGACACCAGAAACAACCTGCACTACATCAACGATGGGGCAGATATTGTGTACCATGCAGCAGGAGCGGGTATCATACACAACCTCGCAACAGGTAGGAAATTTATCCTAAAAGCATAAAATATGATATTCGAGTCTGTCTTAACAAGAAGGCTGTAAATCCAACTCTTTTCTTCCACGCTGTCAAAACTCTGAATCAGATAAAGGTCTAACAAGATCCAGGCCTGCATTGACTTGAGTCCTGCCAGTAGGTTGGCAAAACCTATTTGTTCCTGGGAGAACAGAAATGTGAGCTCTTTAAGCCTTACTGTATCAGTGCCAGACAGACCATATCTGCAGATAAAGTGCTTCCTTGTTAACACCAAATCCTGTTATCTCCTTACTGGCTCAGCCCAATGGTCTTCAGGTAGCTTGTCTTGTTGCATTACGTTAAGAAGCTTTAGCGGTTTTATGGTGTAGCAGGATGATTTGCATGCTAAGCAGGTCAAAGATGCAAACAGTTGGATGGGCTATCAGGGATATCCTGTGCCTGCAGAGGAATGCATTAGCAGCCCTGCTCAGCTTCATTCTCATGGTAGGTCTTTACTGAATGGGTTATGTGCCATTGTGTGACATGCCAGGGAAGTTAGGAATGAAGGCAATGTTTCCTGATATAGCCATGGTGCTGAGACCTGTGCTGTGGTAGTACAGTTAGTTCAGACATTTGGTGAAAAATATAGCTATAAAAACATAAAACTTGGCATGTTGAAGCCCTTGGTGCATGTAACTGTTACATATATTTAGGGGTGGAGCCATTGCAAAAGGCATATTTCTTATCAATAGTTGCTAACTTGCTAGGAAATGAATTTACACTACATCCATCCATAAAAACATAGAAATGTATACCTTTGAACCTCTAGCAGGAACTTAAGTGATCTCCTATATAATTATATGAGCCATAAATATATATTTCCTGTTCCCAGATAGGAATGTGTAAGAATTTTTATTAACCTTGGTGGTTTACTACACCTAGTTTTTGTGGTTGCTGAATTGGTGATATGTGTACATGTAACTAAAGTTCCTTTCAATGTCCTTGGAGCATCCTCCTTGCAGATGTCCTAAAGTCTACCATCCATTTCCAGGCAATCAGAGTTTCTACTTGGAGCACACAGATGATATCATCTGCCTCACCATCAATCAGCACCCCAAGTTTAAGAGCATCATTGCCACAGGACAGATCGGCCAGGTCCCCTCAGTCAACATCTGGGACTCGAACACCAAGGAGACCCTGTCCATCATCCGTGGCTTCCACTCTAAGGGTGTGTGCTATGTCAACTTCAGGTAAGTCTTCAACTGCTCTTGCATTCACATTTTTACCTATTCTGTGAAAGGGCATGAAGGGCCATCAAATTTTCAGGCATAGAGAAATGATTGAATTTATGTGATCATTCCCTATTTTGTTATTTCGTGTACAGACCTTCCATCATCTTTTAATATATTTTTCTTCCTTTTTATGTTTTATATTTCTGATCAGTAGAATCTTTCAGCACCCCAAATTTTGGGATGAGTTTGATTACCCCTGTATATAAGCAACTGTGCTTCTTGCCTAATGCTCAGTAAATATATGTGAATAGATGAATGAAAATAAATGTAATAGCTGTTCTTTGGTAATGCTGCTCAATGAGCAATGGCTGTACGTTCAAAGTTGTATTTGGATAAAGATCTGCTAATCAGAAATTACCATTAGCCACAGCATTGGAAAGGTAATTGTCATTGTTTCCTGTCCATCTACAGTGCCACAGGAAAACTTCTCCTGACTGCTGGTCTAGATGATGAACATTCCATCGCAGTTTGGAGGTGGCAGGAAGGTCGGTTCCTGTGCTTGCAATTTCATGTTTGTTCATATTTGATGGAAGGGTATTAAGAAATAGAAAAAGTATAAGTACAGACAGCAATGGAGAGTGTTTGTTGTATTGTTCCCAATCCATCTGACAATCTTTGGGTGGTGTGTTCACATATTAATTATATCGCCTTCTTTCCTCTTTTACTGCGGAGTTTGTGTACGACAACCCTTCTACTTATGCATTGGCAGATTTGTCTTAAAGACATGCATTATACATATACCTTTCCACCCAGGTACCAAGATAGCCAGCCAAGGTGGGCACTCGGGAAGGATATTCGTGGCAGAATTCAGGCCAGATTCGGACAGCCATTTCGTGACAGTGGGGGTGAAGCATGTGAAGTTCTGGACGTTAGCTGGCAGTACACTGATGGGGAAGAAAGGGGTGATTGGCCCCAACATGGCAGGAGAGGCCCGCATGCAGACTATGTTGTCTGTGGCATTTGGAGCAGTAAGACTCATTTGTTTGTTTAGTTGAAATGGTGATTAAACATGAACAATTTATCACGGTCAATTCATGTAGACATTGAAATGAGAATACCATAGATCAATGTAAGACTGGCTGAGTATTCTAAGGTGAGCTCAGATTTTTTTCAAATCTAAAAACTGTTGTAAGTAATTATAGTGAGTGTTGTATAATCATGATTCCACATAATAGCCTTAATCACTTCAAGGGTTGACAAAATTTTACGTTTGGATTTCTTTTCCTTATTCGAAACTGTCAGCAGAATAATCTAAACCAGGATAGTGAGTGAGTGTGAGTGATTTACCAAAAGGAGATCAGGAACAATGCAGAGTTAAATTCTCAACATGGATCATCTTTTATTTTGTCATTTTCTTACATACAGCCTAAAATTCTGTCTTTCAGAACAATCTGACCTTCACAGGAGCAATGAGTGGAGATGTGTATGTCTGGAGAGAAAACAGCTTGGTCAGACTTGTTGCAAAGGCACATAATGGCCCTGTCTTCACCATGTACACTACACTACGAGATGGGCTCATCGTCACCGGTGGGAAAGAAAAACCGTGAGTTTGTTATCAGTTTGTTATGCAACCTCTTTGAAATATCAACATTTGGATGATTTTACACAGCTAATAGTGGACTGAAACTGTGATTCCATCAATCACTTTGCTGTGACTAATTACAATTAATAAGAATACTAATAGTCTAACCCATTCTAAATTTCCTTTGGATGAGATACACTTGATATTGCCAACCAGTTGCTTAAGTGTCAATTATTATTATGCCGGTAATGGTTAGAGACACTTTTCAATGATATTCAATGACAGCAGTCACATGAAACTTTTATAAGCTGATAATCCCTTTTAACCCCGACTATGTGAACTGTGAAACACATGTGAAGTGACTTTTGATTGATATTTTGATTCTGAATCCCCCTCAGATCAGAATGAAAAATTGTAGTACCGTTCAATTTCTTTTAATACTGATTTCGAATACAAATAAATTAAGGCTTCCTTTCTGAGGGTTAAACCAATTCCTTTTTGAGAGTTAAACCAATTTATTAACAATGTCATGTCTTACTAACCCACTAACTCTGCCTCTCTCCTCTTGGTGTGTGTTGTGTGGCCAATCTGCCCTACAGGAGAGAGTTTGCCATAGGTGGGCCAGTCAAGTTATGGTCGCAGGACATGGAGCGTTGTTGTTTGTTTGAACTCAACAGCCACGACCCCCGTATAGCTGTTGTAGTACGCTCCGTCTGTCGGGGCAAGGTATGCGCACCTGCACGCTGTTCCGTCTGTCCTTCCTCGTGATTTTTTATGCCTTGTTGTTGCATTTCCATTGACTGTCCTGTACTAGGAGTAAGGAAGGAGGCCCTGTCAAGCTGTGGGATCAGGAGATGAAACGTTGCCGAGCCTTCCAACTGGAGACCAACCTGCCCGTAGATGTGGTCAGGTCTGTCTGCAGGGGCAAGGTATGCCACTAGACTCTGGCTAGACACTTGATTTCAGCACCAAAGGCCCCGTCAGTACACTTTCTATCTGGATGTGCAAGCTGCTCGTAATGCATGTCAGAGCATCGCAGATCAAGAAAGTGCACATTTTGGTTGGCAGCTTTAACAATTTTATTACTGACTTCAATCTTAGTGGCATTTTATTTCTTTTATGTTGGTCTTTTCAGTTTAAAAAATGCAAAAACAAGATTAGACTTTAAAAGAATTGAACAAAAAAAGAATGCTATTTATTCATTTCCATGGGGTCTTTGGTGTTTTTGTTGCTTTTCAAAGCTTATCATATTATTATGGTTTTCAGTTGTTTTGAGTTCATCAGGCAGTTCAGTTTTATTTTGTTACAAGTTAATTTGCAGTTTTATTTCTGTTAACCTGATGCGGTAGACTTTGCCACTGCATACAGACTTACCTAATCTATCGCAGCACTGTCCTGTCCAGAAAAGTTTCCCCTTTTTAACAAGATCCTAATTCACATAACCAAATGCCCCCAATTGTAATCTTGAATGGTCCCTTCACTCTCCATTGGGAACTTGAAATAAAATGTAACACGTACTAACAGGACAATCCTCTCCAATGTTGTATCCCCATGCATGGATGTGTGAGAATGTGCATACATTAATAACCAACCACTGTATGTGTATGTCACTAGTTTGTTGGTATATACATGTAGGTGTGGTGCATGTTTTGACTAACTAGTAGACTAACTTTGACACTTAACTGTGCACATTGACTTGTGTGTTTGGCCTATCTCCCTGTTTCCTTATTGCATGTACACATTTTCCATCTTTGTACCACGGCTGTCCATGTCTTTTGTGTGACTTGTGACTTGTCCCACCAAAATGCACCACTAACTACACTCATCTGTGCAACTGTACTGGAATTGCAGATTGTGGTACTAGTGTTAACACTGTTTAATCTAAGGAGAGTTTTTTGTGTTCTGTGTACTGTAGGGGAAGATTCTGGTGGGAACAAAGGAGAGTGAGATTATGGAGGTTGGGGAGAAGAATGCGGCAGCTCATACTGTGGTCCATGGACACTGTGAAGGGGAACTCTGGGGGCTAGCAGCACACCCATCCAGGCAGTTCTTTGCTTCAGCAAGTGATGACTGCACAGTCAGGATATGGGACATAGATAATAAGGTGTGTATGGAGTGTCAACAGACAAATGGCACAATGTAAAGTATTAATGTAACCTGCTTTGCTTGTAATGGGATGTCATTTCCATATGGAGAACATTCTGGTAGTTGGCCACTAGGGAGCTCAACATAAGGAGATTAAGATCCCAAATACTGTACTTATAGTGTAGAGTGTAGAGCATTCCAATACCTACTGTAGAGTTTACAGATTGAGGTAAAGCTACATCCAGCTCTATATCCAGTACTCAATTATCTAAATTTCTAGACTTCGTGACACTTAAAACCAAAGCAACTGGGGCATTTCGAAATGTTGGTTTTCTGGGTAAAACATAATGTACCCTTTTTCTTGAATTCAGAGCATGCTCAGCAAAGTGAACCTGGGCACACCGAGCCGATCAGTGGCATACAGCCCAGATGGAGAGATGCTGGCTGTAGGGATGAAGAATGGAGAGTTCATTCTGCTGACAGCAGCCAGTCTCAAGATCTGGGGCAAGAAGCGAGACAGACGTCTGGCCGTGCAGGACATCAGGTATGAACAATAACAAGCTGCACTGACCAGGCACATGATGGGAAAGAAATGACAAAAGATGCCAGTGGGAGAAACACAGCATTGAAGAACTTCTCAATACACGTAGAAAAGTAGTGTTTAGTCATTGAGGCTGTCTACAGAAATGCAATATGATTGAAAGAAAACTGAAAACTGTACCACATATTACAAAAACACTGATGAGCATTTAGAACCTTGTAAGTTTTAATTGCCTTAGCTTTAATATCATTGGCTTGTGCTCAATGTTCCACTATAACAAGTGTTCCAAAAATCATATTCTGCACAAGTTTTAGAATATAACCCTTATATCTTAATCTTTAGGTTCAGTCCTGATGGGAAGTTCTTAGCAGTTGGTTCTGATGACAACTGTGTGGATTTCTACGACATGACCCAGGGTCCATCCCTGACCAGAGTGGGATATTGTAAGGGCATCCCAAGTTTTGTCATCCAGATGGACTACTCACTGGATGGCAAATTCATACAGGTGAGATCTGGCATGTGAACAATTAGGCTAATGGATACAACTATGGCTTTGTGGAGCTAAGAATGCATTGTCATGGCCTTCTGACCTGTGAATGTTGTTGTTGATGTCCAGGTTGCCACAGGGGACTACCACAGACTGGTGTTTGATGTACCCACAGGGAATCCAGTCACTGATGCCAATGCTATAAACAAGATCACATGGTCTTCCTGGACCCTGTAAGTTCATAGATAGAATATTAGAATATCATGCTTCATTACAACTTGAAGGTAATATTTTCAAATGTATTTGAAATTAAAAAAAACACAAAGGAGACTACCCGCCGGGATATTTTGTCCTAATGATTCTTGTTGTTTAAATGCTGGACCAGAGCATGAGGTACAAGAATTCAGTATAAATTGTATAGTGAGTTTCCTGCTGTTGCATCATTCTATTGTTGGTATGCTACATGCTGTATGTGTGACTGTTTACTTGTCTCTCACAACAGAGTCACTGGGGATGAAGTCATTGGCATTTGGCCAAGAAATGCAGAGAAAGCTGATGTGAATTCCTGCCATGTGGCCCACTCTGGCCTCTCCATGGGTACAGGGGATGACTTTGGCATGGTCAAGCTGTTTGAGTTCCCCAGCACAGAGAAATATGTAAGTGTCATCATGTGGAGACAAGGACTAAAGACACTGAATTTTTATGTTTACATCTTGTTTTCCACATCCAAAAGTTCGAATGTTTGAAGTGTCTCATGATTTCACCTCTGTTTTTAATAGGCCAAACACAAGAGATATGTTGGACACTCAGCCCATGTGACCAATGTACGATTCACTTCAGAAGACAAGTACCTGATAAGTGCTGGTGGGGATGACTGCTGGTGAGTTTGTGTGTTAATGCTGTAGAATGACTTTTCTATTTTGTGGACATATTAAGCAATCAAGGTGTTGCACATCTTTCTCAACTGCCTCCATACTGAATGTGACCACATCTAAGCATATCATGTATTTTCATGTTATGTGTGTTATTAAGAGTTTCATTTACATTTCTTTTCAGAAGTAGTAATCTACATCCTGTGTATAACGATGATTCTTTTTCCCTACAGCCTCTTTGTGTGGAAATGCCTGTGATCCAAGCAACAACTGAAGTCTTAGTACTCTTACAGACTGCGTGCTTCCAGAGATATTTCCATGTTGGGATACAGAAATAATGAGAAGACCATGTGACCTGGACTGCCTCTAACAAATAGGGGCTTTACAACATATATATATATATATATATATATATGTAGGAAGAAGCTTCCTAAAGATCCAGAAAAATGTAGTATTACATGTAGTTGTTGGTCCCTGCCTGAGGATAGGGTATCCCATAGGTCATCTTGGAATCAATGGAAAGGCAGGTTGATACAGAATCTTAAAGGTTCTGAAATCCCTGCAACGTAGGCAAGTCTTCCCAGGTTTTCCTACTAAAATGGGAATATTTCCATGTAAGAACTACTTCTGTGTAAGGCTTTTCTCTCAGTGTGTTGTGCTTGTATGTTGATGCACGTTGCTTGAGCCATGACCAGCCAACATTACAAAATTTGTTTGATGACTTGCATTGTAGAAGTGAGCTGAGTACTAGATGTAAAGACATTGCCATGTTTTGTTGGCAGCATATTCTTACTGATGTTGAAAACTAATAGAAATAACAATGATTTGGAAATCCAGTGTGTACTTTTTTATATAAAACTTTCACCAATGTTGCAGGAGTCCTAAACTGACTTCTCACAAATTGAGATTAAGTACCAATTTTACTTAAGCAATCCCACCACAGTTGGCAAATAATAGCTCTTGTTAACTCAAGGTACATGTGTCTCCTCAACTGGCCTGGTCTACAATTAACTTGTATTGTTTCCAGTAGATATATGACAGAACTAACCAAGTCTTATTTTGGTTTTGTAGTGTTCCTACTTTGTATTCATACAAAATGACAACTCCAGCAATACTTGATACAGTTTTCCAAGATGTTAGACCAATGCAGACATCACTACAGATGTAGAAGGCAGCACGTGTGCTTGCTTGTTTGTCTTTGCCTTACGCTGCTGCATGACATGCATTGTGTAGCTGTGGTGTGTTTGTTTGGTGTATATACATGTAGGTGTTGGAAAATTAGGGCTAGTAGCTGGAGTGTCTGACAAAGGCTCAAGTAAACATTATGTTAAAGGACACTCTACCTTGCCACATTTGGTGCTAGGATGTAAGAGATACCACCGGAAAGGCTGGACAAGGGATAAGGATTGTATAGAAATATTGGACTTGGGTGCCAGATTTAGAGGGTAATAGCAATCTTACAATACATGGGCATTTTCCAAAGAAGTCTTGTATGATGAAACATGAGCCAGCATGTTGACATCTGTACAATCATGAATACATATGTTTACATGTATGCCTTGGAGTAACTGATTTCTGTACTTGTGCATGCCCTAGACAGATGGATTACCATGGACAGAATTAACAAATTTCAGAGCCATGAAGCACCAACAATTGATGTGTAATTTTATGGAATTATATAGCAGATAAACAATGCAGACTGGCCCAATGTATACATGTAGCACATACATGTAATGTTACATGTGATAGAGATGACATGATTATTTGTGAAAGGAAGGACTGCTTTGTTTCAATTTTCTACATGTGGTTATTCATCTTAAATGTGGCACATCAAACTGTGTTGTGGACCTACATTTTTGTTGTACCACATGGTACATTATCTGGTACTACAGATTGGAAAAATCAGCTTCATCACAGAAGCATATTATACTGTTTTGAGTGCAAGTCTCAATTCTAGAAGTAACGGGTCCTCAATGTACTTAAATTTCAGTTGGTGCACAATTATCCATCAGTCTTTCTGTGGTACCAGTAGGTCCAAGGAACATGTTACTTCAAGTGTTAGCATGTGCACTAGTAGTTTGAGTCCATGTTGACTATTTATGTACATGTAGTGACATTTTATCCAGAGACAACCAAGATGCCCATTCCATGCCAATGGATGTGACTTCTGTTACCATTCCATATCTTTTTATTCTCCTTCTATGAGGGACAACTTTGATAAACCATGCACAGATTATACCAATTCTGTTTACCTTGAATTGAAACAGGCAGCCATGGGGTTTATTTTTGGTCTCATTCTTGAACTGTCTTAGAGGTAGTGATAAATGGGTAGCAGAGGTTTATCAACAAGAACCTTCAGCAGCTGCAATCAAATCAGTTGTACATTTTGTGCTGGTGTATAATGTCATTTTTCTGTATACAAAGAGTCTACAAAGTTTTTGTATGTATGTCTTCTTCATTGATGCAGCTTACCAGTAGTGAGGCAATAGGCATTAGATGTGTTATGCTTGATTATATGTATTACAGGAGTGCAAATTGATGGTCATAACCAGCTCAAGGCATGTATAAATTTATTCGTAATGAGCAAGCCACAGTACAATACAATAAAACAAATTGGTAATGCTTTGGATGACTTCTGTCATTTTTTCTACACATACCCTGTAACATAATTAAGACAGAAACCAACTGATTGTAATGCCTACCTGAATTTCACATAGGCTTTGAACAAACACTGTCCTCTGATTTGATTCAACAACATGATTAGGTATGTCAGTATATTTACATTCTTCACAACTCCCAGATTTGAAAGAAATGTAGGGTCATGTTTGCTCTTTGCAAGGGATGCTTTCCCTATTTCCTGCTGATATGAATAAATTATCCCGATTATCTTGGCAGCTTATTTAATATTGAATGCAAAGATATGACAGTGAAACTCTACCTTCAAAAATGACTGCTGAAAAATTGTGCAAAATGTCCACCATGATATCTGTCACTATTGTGCTCAAAATGCAATTGTCTTCACAATCACACCGAAAGAAAAGTCCTGAGCCAACCACAGACCATGTTTTGTCATCCTACACGGTAAGAAATGGGAGATTATGTATGATGCGAGTCATGAGCCTTCTTGCTCTTTCTTCTGCGTCTCCACTTCCTTTGCCCATTTCTGCTCGCGCTCTTTTATCATGTCCTCTACCTTTTCCAGCATGAACTGCAGTGGGTCGGCTGGACGGTCGTAAACAATGTTGGCAGTGAGACCCTGGGATGAACACACAAAAGTGTTAAGTTAGTGACAATATCACCGTATCAGTGTTGTAAAGAAATAGTAAATGTGTTCCTCATGATATTTTGTGAAACATGGATAGGCTACAATAGATCTACATGATAAATGAATACATTAAGTGGCGAGGTTGGAAGTACCGTTATACCGGCAAGTGAACCAGCTAGCACTGCACTACGGGAGGAAACTTTAGGAGACCAACCACTCACCTATGGTCTCATGCATTGATTAAAAAGTCATTATAAATATAAGTGCTATGCATAGATTTGTTGAGAGGTAAATGAAATTAAATTACCTGTAGTGCATCTTTAAATATGCACGTGGAATTACACAGATTTTTTCTAAACTCCCATGAATAAATTACAGAGATGATTGACACTAGTCAATTTTCTGTTGACATTCGAATAACCACCTGTTACTGTTCGTGCGTCGTTGAGATTAACAACGCAGCAATAATGTGTAACGTTAACACATACCTTGAACAGTTCCATGACCTGGTGTTTTTCCAGGTATTTGAGCGCTCGCGTGTAAGGATCCTCCATAGGTGACTGGTACCCTAACAATTCGTCCCTCAACTCTTCGTCCCAGATATCTGGCCCTCCCTTGTCGGTCCCTGCTGAGGTGAGCTCCCGCCGAATTTCCTGGTCCGCCGCCTGCTGTTCCGGAGTGGCCTCGGGGATGTCATTGTGACTCTGTTTTGTTTCTTGTTCCGTCATTAAAACCTTGTCAGTCCCTCCTTCTTGTGTACTTGTGTCGTCAGAAGAGGGAGCTCCGTCCCCTTCCTGCACTTCGGACGCCATTGTTGAAGCGGATGGATCTCAGTTTCCATGAGAACAAGTGGGTGAAGCGCCAGGACGTTACCAGCCGCCGTAGGATATCCATCCGCATATTGACCTGAACGCATTAAAATGTAGGGTTTGGAAGGTAACTTAGGGTATACTGTAACAGTCAAGATGTTCAAACCAACAATGTAGTGATACCGATAAAATCTTAAAATATTTCCGGATAAAGAGCTGCATTTTGTTATAATCTAATGACGTCTACCTTACGCTCGGTTATTTTTTTGTTCATGTACCCTATGCCATCATCACGTGATGCTAATAGATTGATCGGGGATTCCCCGAGCGTCATCGGTAGTTTTTTTGCTACAAAATCTGGGGAATTTTTGGCCCAAAATAGGCGCTGACATCACAATAATTTTCCGAAATCGTGGAAGCCATATAGTCTCGGGATGGCTGAAACTTCAGGTAAGTGCATCAGAACTCTACATCACTTCGTGTCGTAGATAAACTTGCTCCGTTCAACTCTTCATCATCACGGAAGTGAAACTAAAAAGAGGAAGAGAAGGCATGGGGAGGGCAGTAAACACGCTTAGGTGAACAGGTAAACCATGGCAAAGCATATAGAATATGTATTGCCTTTGTTGATAAGCTCTAACATTCTACATTACCGTGTGTGTTTATAGCATCGTTTTAACCCTCACAATGTCGGGACTCCAGCATGATCGTGGGTATGCTTTTTAAATCCAGTCTTAACAAATTTTATTTGGTGATGGAGTTTTTACAATGAGTATTAGATGACTTTATGTAACATTGCAAAGCTATTAAAAAGCAAAAGCACCCATGAACATCCCAAAGTGATCTATTGTTCCCAGTATTAATGATGATAAAACGATACTGAAATATCATATCATGCAGTAGCTAATGTTAACAATTACAAGTACATGGCCTAGAAATGTTTTATATTATCAACATTAACTGTTATGTTGTCCAAGCATTGGTCAATATGTCAGACAAAATACAGCACATCGAAATATAACACTCTAACAATACTTGTACATAGTTTTTGAGATAATCCCCTAAAAAGAAAAGGTAGAGATCACATTATTCCACTTCCTCCTGTCCTCCGAAACACATGATCGTGTACTGTGTAATTGTATTAAACATATCCCATCACTGAGACTTCCATTTTCCTTCCAGACCCCAGCCTACTGGATGACGTTTGTCCCAGCATGCCACTGGAGACGATGCTAAAGCTCTTAGAACAGCCAGCATCCCACAGTCCCATGGACGAGACACAGAGGGCTGTTATGGAGGTTATGGACAGAGACAATACTGCTGTCATGGAGGTGTTGAATAGAGACCCTACAGAGGGGGCTATTCCTGTAGTTGTTAATGGAGATCCGGACACGTCAATGGCGGGGGTTCTGAACAGTGATGATCAAGTAGCCGTGATGGACGTACTGAACAGGGACCCATATGCCGAGGAAGTGACTGTTGTACTGGAGACAAAAACAAACTTTCCACCTGTAGAAGAAACAAGCAAAACTGTTGTAATACTGGACTCTGTGAACAATGATTCTATAAACATCAGTGGATCACAGCTACCCATGGACTGGGACACATTTCAAGAACTCGGTAAGCAGTCACATTATTCTGAACCTGCCTATTACATACACTTGGGCATGCCCCTGGTGTCAGTCCTTTTTAGACGTCTTGAGTTCTCTGGTTGCTGTTTACCTTGGCTTGGTGACGAATTTGAAAGTTGCTCAGTAGCAATATGAAAGTTTTTGCTGGTATTTTTCCTTTCATTGCCTTGTAATAATCTGACGTTCCAAGGTTTGAAGTTGAACAGAATGAATTTTTCTTTCTTGTATCATTTCAGAGGAAATCATAAAGAAGGATGAAATGCTGTTATCCACAACTGTGAAGCAGGAGCAGCCAGAGCTCAAGGACTTGGCAGCTTGTAGATTTCGGGAAGTGAAGGACAAGAAACCACCTGTTATTGAGATCATCGAGCAGCCCAAGGCCCGGAGCCTGCGCTTTCGCTACGAGTGTGAGGGACGGTCGGCGGGCAGCATCCTGGGCGAGAACTCCTCACCTGAGAACAGAACATACCCATCCATACGGGTCAGTCAGCTTCACACTACATCTTACTGAGTTTCTCATACATTCCTGTATACATTCATTCATTTATTTTATCGTCATTCTGTCATCCTCTGTAAAGAGTTGTTACAAACAAAGTTTCCAGTACTGTTTGTCTTTGTCTTGCTGAGAGACGTTCATGTCCTTATAAGTTAGTTTCTAAAGTGAGATTCACAAATTATTTCTTTCCCTCACTTACTGTCCATGTTAGCATCTCTTGTTCCCTGTCTTTTGACGGTTAGACATGATATACTTTGGATGTTGGGATTTGGTTTGTTTATTAATTTGTTTAATACCATTATAATTGCAGCTGCTAAACTGCAGTGGTCCTGCCATGATCCTGGTTTCCTTGGTAACCAAGGATGACCCGCCTAAGCCCCACCCACACAGCCTTGTGGGTAAAGGCTGCATTCACGGCATCTGTAAAATCAATGTTCCTGACTGCAGGGCACCAATCAGGTGGGTACAGCAGGGCGTACGTCTCAATAACTGTCCTTTTCCAATATTTTGTCTCTTATCTGTATCTGGTCACTTTTGAAGTAAGTCATTCAGAAATGGTGTAAAGTATAACGTATATCTGCATATGTTACAGCTAACATTGTGATGCTCATGTCAGTGTGCCATAACCTATACTGACTAGTCATCTCCCCTGTCTGTCAGCTTCCCCAACCTGGGGATCCAGTGTGTGAAGAGGAAGGAGATTACCCAGGCTCTGGCTCAGAGGTTACGTCTGGGGATCGACCCTTTCCACACGTACAACAGACACAAGGGGAAGATGGATGAGGTGGACCTGAACACGGTGCGGCTGTGTTTCCAGGCCTTCCTCCCTGACCCCCAGACTGGACAGTGTACTGTCTCAGTCCACCCCAGGGTGTCTACTCCCATCCACGACAAGAAAGCCCCCGGAGCAGCTGAGCTGAGAATATGTAAGATGAACAAAGTGTCGGGTCCTGTGACCGGAGGGGATGAGGTTACCCTGTTGTGCGACAAAGTTCAGAGAGGTGAGATATGTCCTCATGTCTCCACTCAAACTTGTGTTTACCTGGAATTGTAGTGTTTACACAACATGACTGTATTGGCAAACAGTATTTCTTTCACGTATCATTCAATTACATGTAACTGTACAAGATGTGTTAATGGTGAAAGAAAAGGTACTTGAAATTACTTTTTGAATATTATAAACAAGTTCATGGACATCATAAAGATACATTTTTCTCTCCCTCAGATGACATTGAAGTGATCTTCACAGCCAAGCCCATGGGAATCAAGTGGGAGTCCAGGGGAGACTTCTCACCTACTGAGGTGCACAGACAGGTAAGACCAGGGCCATGATATACATGTAGACTTCCAAGATCCACACATTACATTGTAATAACCATTTGTGGGATTCTTCTGTTAAAAGAGTATAGAATAGTGTGCCTTTCAAGCAGTCAAATATGTTGGTCTTGAACAGCAGATTGTTTTTTTTCTTTGTAGGTTGCCATTGTTTTCAAGGCTCCTGCATACTTTAACCTGACCATAAGGGAGCCAGTCAGAGTGCAGGTGCGACTGAGACGTCCGTCTGATGGGGAGGAAAGTGAGCCGTTTGACTGGATGTACACTCCAGTGGACAAAGGTTTGTGTCACTCTGTTGGGGGGTTGGAGACGGTCAGATGTTGGTGTTCTGTGTAAAGATAGAACCTGTTTTACGTGGTTCTGTTAACTACAAATTGCAGGTTGCTGTAATCTTCACTTACCGTTACGGAAAGTTGGCCAGTATGACTTGGAGTGAAAATGCATATTAAAGGCTTTGGTTTGTGGATGGTTTGTCCCACAGATGAACACAGTGTTGAGTCTAAGAGACGTAAGAAGATGCCAGACTTTGCCAAGTTCCTGAACATCCCTCCCAGCAGTGGGGCTACAGCAGGGCCAGCTCACACACACCGGATGGCAAGGTCCAACTGTAAGTAGTCTGCAACTTCTTGTTTTGTGAATACTATAAATCAAGAAATGTTTTTGTGGTGTCCTCATATGCAAAATCATGAAACTGCAAATATATATTTTCTATTCCTATTGTACTACAGAATTGTTTCAACCATCAACTTCCTCCTTTTCTCTTATACTGCAAAAATGAAACCACCATGAAGTAAATGCACTTACAGTTAAAGCTTCTTGGATGTTTCACTCATCATCAGCTAATAGATACAAGATTTAGCAGTATGGATGTCTGTATCCAGGCATGACTATTAACGGCAGACATGTTTTACCTGAAGTTGAATTAAGAAGTGACTTGTAACATTCCTGCAGTGAGAGGCCTTACCATGGAGTCACTACAGACACACCCATCCCCAGCAGCAGCAGCTGCAGCACCACCTGTGTCTGAGGATGTTAGACAGCTGTTACGCAGGAAAGTCCAGGGTCAAGGTCAAGGAGGATCACAGCAGCTGTTTATGCCTCCCATGCAGACTGGACAGCTCAAGCAAGGTATGTTGTTCGTTATCATTAGGGGGTCTTCCATGTATTCTGTTGTATAGTTCAATATTGTGTACTGTTGTTGCTACTGTGTGTTAACATTATATGTCACTGCTTTAGTGTATGTAGATTGAATGAACTCAGGATTCTGTTTGCTTTCACAGATCAAGACTTGCCCTCCTGTGCATTTGCCACCTCAAGTCAGCTTCCCTCCCAGCCAGGCCTGGCAGCTGCTAGCTCTGGTGCCTCTGCCATGAGAGCCGCTCCCCCAGCCTACCCACCATCCTCCCAGCCAGCCTACCCTCCCCAGTTCTCAGGGGTTAGCTTCAGTGGGCTGATGCAGGCCACTAAGTCTAACATCCCCCTGGCTTCCAGAGTGGACCCTACAGGTACAGTATACAACCCCGCAGCCTTCATCAGCAGGGGTGGGAGGAAGTCTGCCAAAACTGCAGCGTCTGGGACAGCTCAAAAACAGAAGCCGCCACCAACCACAGCTGCCTCTGCCTCTGCCTCAGGTGACAAGAACAACTTCACAACAACAGACCTGTCATCCCTGGGACTCACCTTCACACAGGTAGAGGTAAAGAAACCAGACCCACAGTCAGGGGTACAGCCAGAGGTTTACCTGGAACCATACCAGGGTGGGGATGAGCTGTTAAACTCCATAGATATCAGCTCGCTGGAGCTGGGGTCTGAGGTCACCATTGATGCCAACACTCATGCTGACCTTAATGAGCTACTAGAGATGGTCAAACAGGACAAAGAGGAGTGAGAAGTACCAATAGTGGTCTTTAGAGATGACCAGTCAGGTTTCAATATAACTTTAGGGCTTATTCTGTTTTTAACAAAATTGTCAATTCTGTTTGGTCTGTGATAGCTAGTTAGATTGCGTTTGGAAATGCACAAGGTAGTTTGCATGATGTTGTAATAAATACTTCATACTAAGGCAGCTATTTAGAATCAGGAGCTCTTTGGTATGATAGCATTTTTCCATGTGTAGCATATGTGAGCCAATATGTATTATGATACTGATAAGTGTGTAAACATTAGTACCATGTTTGAAATGTATGTACATACAGTTTTATAAATTTGCACATTAAATATGACATTTAGTGTTGAAGTGCCTTTTGTTTTGCATGGACATTTACTTTTTTCTCATCTAGATATCTAATGTTGAATACTTCAGTTTTTAAGTTTTGATATGTAAACTTAAGCTGTAATTGAGAAATTTATGATTCTGACAATGATTAACATTGGATATCTGAGCATGGATTTCAACATTCCATTTCATATTTTATGCTATGGTTGTTGCTGTTAAATACAATGGTATATACGTAAGAGTGTGAAAGCCAAGCTTTCTTTTGTAAAAAGTGTAAATATTGTGGCTATACTTGCTTGTACATGCCAGGTCATGACTGGCATTGCTGGCAAACTGGCCAGGGTACAGTCATCAATGTCACCGGCCACTGTGGTTACATATATCCACTGATGTCAAAATGGTATCATACTATATTAACATAATTAAGACTACATTCATTCTGACTGCATACACATTGCAGAAATATTCCTCTGCTTGCAATTGGTATGAATTTTTTTTTCAGTCAGTCAGAGCATCTGTCTTGAAAACATGTCTTTTATGGATGACATGTAGAAAGTAACATGAAAATGGACCAACTAGAACCTTGTTTGACCATGATTGTGTGGCAGGGGGAGGGTGTTTTTTTAGTAATGTGGCTTCTGCTGGTAATGGAGACAATCTGTACAGAATGTGCCTGATTAATTATGCAGACTTGGATAAAGGAAGGTAGGAGATAAGCTGATGCTGGTGATACATGTACCTACAGTAGTAGCAAAATGATGATTCTACATGTATTAGAAAGATAAAGTGGCTAAAAATAGCCTCATTTTAAGACATATTTATTTTTGCAAATACTATATACAGATGCATTATCAATGGTAATTTCTGTGTTTTAGATACATGTACTTTTATGAGTGCTGTTTGAGCCTTCAGCCTGCTTCAGGAACAATATTACTGACTACAGATTGAAGAACAATTTGCCGTTAGTTTGTTGTTGTGGTTGTATATGTATAAAAAGATCAATGTGTATTAAAACTGAGAGTGATATTGGTGCATGAAGTGCTGATTTTGAAGTTAACGTTATCTAATATCACTTATCTCTAGGCCACAGCAAATAACATCCACCATGCACTACATGGTATTGAAGCGCCACTAAGTGAAGGATTGCGGTACTTCAGCTACAAATTACTAGTAATCAGGATTGGTCCCATCAAAAGTATTAATTAGGCCAAACGGATTTGGTTTTGAATACATGGATGCAAACAAAATTGCATTCATTGTGAAATCTGTGGCAGGAAGGTTTGACACATGGTATACATTTATTTATTTATTTATTTTTTGTTCTTTCACATATTTGGCTTCGGCCGACCAGTGACCAAATTAAACAGTTACTATTGTACAGCCTGGCCAAGCAAAATGACATTTTGGTCGTTCAGGAGCTCTTCTGAACTGTTACCATTAACACACACGTTACGTACAGGTGCCTGCCACTATGACCTAATTTCCTGCTATAACAGTTACTGATTGTTTTTTGTGCGCATTTGCCTTACTATTGTGTGGACGTTCCTGCGGATGTCGAAACAGTATTTTTGCAATGATATTTTTGGTCGTTGTGTTGTAAACTAACTACTACCTGAGCTGCATATTGGAAAATTCACACCACCATACCCCAGACAGGTGATGGAGAGATAGGGTCCCTGTCCCGGGAGCGGCGCAAAGGCCCTTCCCGAGCCTTACAAAGAAGGGTGGGCGGGGAAAGAAATGCCTTTCCCCTCACACCTTACTCTCGGTCTACGACTCTTGCCCTAATCTCCAACTAGAGTCCAAGCAGATCTTTCGGTAGCCTCAGAAGACAGCCGCTTATATATATATATATATATATATAAACATACATAAATAACATACATATATAACGTTATATACTGTATTCAAGCTATAGCTATGTATGCGAAAATTCCCAATTTTGTGCATCATTTTTGACATGAAAATGATGGGTATTCCCTGTGAATTTACATTTTTACAAAGATTGAAGAACCAAAACAAAGCTGGTCTTGTAACAGAAGGGTTATCCTTCCACCCCATATATAGTTACATGTGTACTAGCATTTTGCTTCAGAATTATTCCTTGGAAGATGCGGTTTCTAGACGTGAGCGTCGAAAGGAAAGAAATTGGGGTGTGCACCTAAACGCAACGCGACTGGCAACACTTTATCCTTTTAAATTCCCGCCTTACCATGACGTCACAACTAATATCATTAACACGTGTGCGCATGTCATTCTTTATACGTCTCGTTCCCTGGATTTACTCTGAAAGTTACCCCGTATTCAACGTGAGAAATTGAGTGGTAAATGAAATATATATCAGGGACACATTTGTGTTAACATATCGTGACGCAGATAAGCAGGTTTTCGAAGTATCCATCTAGATGTCCAGGGCGTTCATTCTTTTAAATATGGCACCTGGGACAAAGAGCGACCCCGTTACTAACGTAACGTGACCTGTCACCTACGTAAACAAGATGGCGGAAAGTTTTTTGGAACAACCACTGGAATAGTAAATTTTGCCTTTGTTAGGCAATTGTAACGCAAAGTAGTGGCCGTTTGGACCAGCAGGAACACAATGGCAAAGGTTGAAACAATAGATGAGGAGGTTAGTGTAACAAATGTTCTGTTTTAGTTCTCTCACAGTAGTTTTAGTATGCAAGCCAGTAGATAAACCAGCCAGGCTTCTAGCCGTGGCGACTCTTGATTCGGGCTTACATTGCATTACCCTTGTCTGAGGGTAATGCAATGTAAGCCCGAATCAAGAGTCGCCACGGCTACCAGGCTTCAAGAAGCAAAACAAGGTCTGCTGCGTTCTGCACAGCTGTTCCCTTGTCATCTGAAGGATAGAAGACCATAGAAATTTGAAATGTGTTGCTTATGTGCCTCACTCAGCTTCCAATGCCGACCACGGGACGGTGGATTTGGAAGGAGGACACAAACTCACTGGAATTTGCAGGGTAAGGAGATTTTGTTGCATATGTGCATATAAGTTTTATAACGTTATCTACATGTACATCATGAAAGCCAGTCATAGAGCTTGCTGCCAAAGTCACAGGTCACAATGAATGTAGACTAAGATTGTAATTTAATCTGTACTGATGTCAACCTGAAAATGCCTCCAATGTATGCGTTGTTAGATTTCATGCACTTGAGACAATTTTTAATCTTCTGACACTGTTCAACTTACCAGATCACATCAAGTAGCAGAACACAAAGATGGTAAGAAGAAGAAAGGAAAGGGAGGTATCCACTTCCATGATGCAGGCAAGAGAAATGATAGGTAAGCTAGCTTCGCTAGAGGTGTTTCTCATGCACCATTTTGAATATTTTGTTTGTGTAGCAATTATAAAGCTTCCCAGCATCTAAGTTACTAACTGCATCATAAAACTACGTACTGTGGCCGCAAGGTGTAACTAGTAACAAGCACTGTATTGTCCCTTACAGAGCCAAGACACCGATGTTTGGTGCAGTGGGGAGGATGGGTGCAGGAGGAGTAGGGAAGGGTACAGCAGGGAAGGGATACGGACCCCACAGAGGATCTCCCAAACCCAGCATGAAGCAGACAGGGACAGATGGGATAAACATCACACTAGATCATGTCAAAGGTTGGATCTGTCTTTTTGTGATTTCTGTTTTGTCTTTCCTTTAAGCAAGAAACATATGCATTGAGATTTCACTCACAAGTTACAAAAATACACACAGATCTCTAGTAGTAGTATCGGGACAAAATGGTAAAACTAAATTCCACACTGTTAGAGGATAAATTTTCATCAGTTTTCATTTCTATTAGACTAATTTAGAGTAGAGTAGACTTTTCGTCTCGGTAGGAAGTTCTCTTCCACTGTGAGCCGCTCCTTGTACGTGTAGCTTGTAGCTATATAGTCAAACTTATTGAATTGTACATGCTAAATGCATAGTGTTTGACTTGTATCATTTTTTCCTTGCCCAGCTGTTGCACTTGACCTGCTTCAAGAAGTGGCGGTGTCTGATCTACCTGAGCACTTCTCAGTCTTCTCACAGTAGGTACCACCTACAGACACAAGGTCTAGTCATGCTGAGCAACAGACTGTAATGATAAAGAATTAAATACTAGTAGTAAGTTCATAATGATTATAATATAACTAAAGTTCATCTATGATATCTGTTACTATATGAGTGAGTGAGTGAGTGAGTGAGTGAGTGAGTGAGTGAGTGAGTGAGTGAGTGAGTGAGTGAGTGAGTGAGTGAGTGAGTGAGTGAGTGAGTGAGTGAGTGAGCAAGGGAGCGAGTAAGTGAGAGAGTGAGTGAGACTGAGAGTGAGTGAGTGAGTGAGTGAGTGAGAGTGCTCAAGTGAGATAGATTGGCTACAGGAGCAATTCTAATGAGTATATTGTACTCTAATCCAAATGTCACTGTTTTTTTTGTTTTTTGTTTTGTTTTTTTTATAGCAAAATTATGTTTTAAGCTGCTAATAATTTCCCTTTTCTACAGGACAGAACAGTTTGACTCCTTCCTGATCTCATTGCTGAATTATTTCAGCTGTTATTTTGAGCGACTTGCTCAGGAGAAGAAACCCACACCGATGACAACGTAAGCACAGAGTACATTTCTCATCACATATGACATGTATTTGTCTCCACAAATCAAAGGGAAAGACAATTTCTTAAATGTACCAACTGAGCTTAAATGATCTTTTTTGTAGTTGTTTTCTTGTGAGTTTTTCAATGCTGATGGTATATTGATGATGATCTAACCAACCACTGCACTGACGTTAATTTCAGAGAGCCAAGTCTTGCAGAGAAGAAGGCAATGGCAGAAGCCAGTGCTCGTATGGCTGTGGCCCAGAAGAGGCTGGGGCAGAGTTACTGTGTCCTGATCCTGGGGCTGGGCATCCCTCGCCAACACCACATGGGCTGTGGCATGTACGACTATCTAAGTTCTCTTCTAAAAACTTGTAACTCATATGGGTAATAATGGGTTACTTCAAAGTGAAACGTTTGTTGTACTGTACTCTTCCATGTTTTGCCAGATAATTACCAGACAGGATTAAACTTTCTAATTGGTTTCAAAAATTAAACTTTTGAAAAGCTAGAGTGGTCAAACGACATCATGTCTCTTCTCCTGCAGGAAGCGTGTTTCTTCTACATACACAGACAGGAGTATGTATGAGGTAAGCATTTTTGCATTTTTGTCATCTTTTATTGTGATGGAAACTAATGTTGAATGTTCAACATACAATGCTCATACCTGTCTGTGATTTACTGAATCATGTATTTCATTTTGTTACAGGCACTGTACAATGTCTGTACATATGTAACCTGGGTGACTTTCAGAAGAAGAGACTTTGAACTCATTCAGAAAGAAACAGGAAGGTAAGGTATTGGGAATCTTAAGTTCACTTCCATCTTACAGCTTATTTTCTGTAGTTTGATGGATTAGCTATCCAATGTGACAAGTCCTCGCTGTGTGGAAATTCATGGTAGATAAAGGAAATTAAAGTGTTATTTTCTTCCATGAAAGTTTCAAGAGCCCTGGAACATAATCGTAAATGTGTTGTCTTTAATCTGAGTGTCTAACATATTACTGTACCTTCACAATTCAGAATAATCTCCATTTTTTAGCTTTTAACTTCTTTCTTGATTTTGTATTTGCAGGATGCTTAGGTCAGACGTGTTCAACCCATCTCTAAGACCAAAATCTACACCAGAAGGTAAGTACCGCACATGGATTATGTTCAGTATGATTTGTAAGTGAAACTCAGTAGAAGTCTTTTTGACACTTTTCCTGTAAACTTTGTACCCTATAGAATCTGTCCTTTTAATACTTTTTCGTATATGATGCATGACAACAAAATATTTGATTATTGTTTTTCAGATGAGGAGGAAGAAATGGAAATGAAGGATGATAAAAAAGGGAAGAGGAATTTGGAAAGGAAGAGGATCAGTCCTGCAGAACACAGGAGGAGGATGGGGTAGGATCTCCACTTTCATAAGCAAAAACAAATTGAAAGGAGTGAAACTGGGGGTACTTTTTTGGAAGGGGGTATTAGACACAACTAAGAAAGGGTGTAAGTCATCTTTGGAATTTATGAAGGGTTAATTGAATGAAAAGTAAGATACATGCACAAGAAATCAGAAATTTTGAAGATCTTTTGAATGCATTGACTTCCTATCAAACCTTTCAGTAAATTGCCTCTTTCTCTCAGAGTTGTCTGTATGTATGATACAGCAAAGTTGATCCATTCCTTTTCCTCCACTTACAGTAAGAGGCCACCCATAAAAGAAGTTGTCAAGTAAGTACTTGTCACATGTTAATCCATGTATCATCTTCATTTTATCTATAGCACAGTAGGATGCAACTCAGTATCTGATTTAATAAGAAAATGGTCAATTTCAATTAACTAGAAATGATTTGTACTAGGAAAATTTTATTGACTCACAAATGTCCACTTACATTCATGTTAGTGTCCAAATGTTCTGCAACAATCTACCATATGTTGATACCATTTATTGTTTTGCTTCAGCCAACGTTCCCCAGCTCTAGTGTCTATCCTGCCCAATCCAAAAGAGGAAGCCCCCTGGCTTTTCCAGCACAAGCCTGCAATCAAGGGGTAAGAATACAACAATGGTTTTCTCTGAAATACAAGTATAATGCGTATAATGAAATATCAACACTTAACATGCAGAGAATTCGTCTCTCCATGCTGAGGCCAGTTAACATTTGACAATTAAGACAGTGACTTCAAATCCTGTTTCTTTTCCTCACAAACAGAGATGGTACAGCTGCTCCCAAACCTTTCCAGGAGCTGTCAGTGGATATGACAGAGGAAGAGTTTGAGATCTTCCTGCCCAGTCCTCTCAAGACAAAGTAAGATACAAAAAACTATTCCTCATTTCACTACCTCATTAGATTTACCAGTATCAGTTTTTGGATGTGATTCATTGAAAGTTAAAAAGTTAGTGATTTAAAATGCACTGGACATTCATCAAGTACTGTGGTTATGAAGGGCATAGTGCCTAGGTGTGTGTAAGAAACTGGTTGGCTAATTCTTTTTGGCAGAGCTGAGTGTGTCAATCCTGTCTGATGTTAACATTTCTCCCCAGAGTTGGGATCATAGGAGAGCCCATGAGCCAGTACAACCCACAGACGCTCACTCCGCTGGGTGCAGAGCAGGATGAGGAGAATGAGGCAGACTCCAGAAGAAAGTGAGTCATGAGTACGAATGACATTAAGGTTTGCTTTGTTGTCCATTACAGACAGTTGCTGTGTCACACAGTTTGCTAACCTTGCATATGTGAGCCCAGGTAATGATGAGAGATTTGGTCTCCCTCATCAGTGCAAATTGCTAGAGGCTTTGCTTATTGTACACAGCTGATGTTCAGCACTTTTCAGGTATAAATGTCTTACTGTATTACAGCAAGGAAATTTTCCAAGTGTGTTTTACATGCACTTTGCACTTGTTTGTTTAGCATACTCATAAGTGTGTATTGACACTGTTGTGCACTAACTCACGTTCCCCGTGTGCTGTGTTGTGTCCATTTTCTTGTAGTTCCTTGTTTGGTTCACCAGCCAAGTCACCAGCCAACACAAGGCAAGGTATGAAGAAGGCAAAAACAGCATTATGTATTCAAGGGTGAAGGTGGAAGGCTGCATGCTTGCCTCTCAATAGATGAGCAGTGTAGTCTTGCATGCTACTAGCTACATGTACAAACAAGGTAGCAAGGAACCTAGGGCTTCAGGCCAGCAGTACTGGTGTATTATGAATCCTGATGGCTGTTCTCAGACTTAAGAGGTATTGCATGCCCCTCTGGCAGAGTTGCGGTCAGTGAAAAGTACACAAGCATTGAAGTTGTGCATGCTTGCTTCTGCTTTTCTAGAAGGGATGAATGCAGGAAGATGCTATTTTGCAGGCTAATTCTATTGACCTGTGCATGGGAGCCACTACTTGCTGCTGATTGTTCTAGATCTGTAGGCTGAGGTGAGGTTGACCTACACAAACATGTGAGCATGGTTTAACCCCCCTTCTTTTGTTCCACAGGGAGTACAGCCCAGAATCGGATGACGACTTCCATGTCAATGACAACTGATGCCTTTTCTGTGGTTGATGAAGATGAGTGATATGTTAGGAGCCACTTGCTGCTATTGCATGAAGTTTCATGCACATAAAAGACAATTTTGTAACTAATGTAGGTGTTTTCAAATTGGTCTTTTGTTCAAATGAAGTCTAATGGCAATGTACACAAGGAAGGATTGTGTCATCATTACAGTAGAAAAAGTGGTTAAACTTGGATTGGCACTGACCATGGCAGGTAGAATCCTATCATACATGACTTTGCCATGGTAGCCTGTAGAATTGGTCAAACAAAAATGTCTTGAGTCTTGATGATACTGGACAATGTTTGTGTGTTTTAGAGTTTTGTATAATTTGTAAGGTATTGTATGTTAATTTTGGTGTAATATTCAACTTTACTCCTATGAATTGGGCATAATGTCACTTGTATCAAATGTACAGCTTTGTAGATGACAAGATACATTTTAAAAATGTTTTTCTTTATCACTGAATTTCTACAGTAGGCTCTGTAAGTATTACTATTATTACAAAAATGTAGATGCATATGCACAATACACTGGTCTTAAGAGGTAGATTTTGAACACAAACACAGTTTAATGCACTTGCAAATTACATCCGTTTCATTCCATGAATATTACACTTAATGTATTGTTTGCATTTCTCTTTTGTTTAAAGTCGCATTGAAACATATCAAATATATAAATTAATCATTTTTATCTTTGATAGGTGTCATGGTGTAAAAATGCCATTGCACTGGTTGTATAAATGCACCATTTGTTCTGTTGCATCAGATAGCACTATCCAGATTATTGTAGATTTTATACCTTTGCAGGTAAGTTCTATATACATGGTCATTTCATATACGCAACACTGAAAACTATCTATTAGATATTCTATTCTTAACATGGAATTTCAAACAATTTCATTCAGTATTTGGCAAGGAATCCAGCTTTACATCTTGAACTATTTACATCATTACTGCACTTCTTATAATGTGAAGAAATAAGGTCTAAGAAGAATGTTTAACTTCACTGTACACGTTGTTGTTATTTGTTGTTTTTACTGTAATTCTAAACAGATATGATTAACATGACAAGCTCCTGCAAAAAGAATTGAACAAAAAGTATATGTACATTGTAAATGTAATATTGAAACCACAAGATCCAGATTTTAAAAAAATCAATATTGTAATAACATTATCAGAATGTGGCAATACCCGGTAATGATGATGAGTATGTTACCACAAAAACTAAGTTTACATCTTTGAAAGTGTATCAAACAACAATGACAAAGTTTCTGATTCATTCCCTGAAATACAAAAATGTATAGAAGATAATCAGATGCTTTACAATCAGAATCGTGAAGCAAAACTGTTACATTGAAAGTCTACATATAATGCAGATTTCTATCAGATAAAACATTTAATTGAATGGTATATGGCATCTGGCATTAGAAAGGCCCACAATAGAAAATATGAATGTTCTTAATAATTTCATTTGTTTTGCTTATCATCTTCTCTTCTGGACAAGCATGTATGATTTGCTGATCAACTTCAGACAGCATCATAGTTCTTTAGGCTTTCTTCCAGGGTGGTCTTTATTTTGTCGTAGAACTGAATCTGTTCTGTTAAGAAATGCTGGGCAATAGCCTTGAAGTCGACCACCCTCATCTCATGGAAGTGTTGGATCTCAGCGAGAGTGGTGTAGGTGATGACATCAGATCGTGCCCCAACTTCCTCCAGTTCTTCAGCGGACATCTTTCCTTCATCCACCATCCGCTGGCACTCCCGTACCTTCGTCATTGTTCCTTTCATGGACTGGAGGATGTCAGGGAAGGTGGACAGGATGCCCTTGTACTCATCTACCTTCAGCATGAGGACATTCAGGTCATGCTGTGGCTGCTCCTCAAACATTTTGCCAATCTGAAAGTAAGCTGCACCAGTTTTCCATAGGGCATTGGTAAGGGGCTTTGATGATGGCTTCTTATCCAAATCAAAAGTTGTTCCAAGCTTTGTGAAAGCCTCTCCGACTCTTTGGTACTCCCTCTTGAAGCCTCCCATGTGTTTCTTGGTACTCTCTGCAGCTACAGCAAGTAGATTCTTCGCACTGTCATCCATGCTCTTCTGGAACCTGTTGAAGTTCTCCATGTTGGTCTCTATCCTGGCTGCTGGTAGACGTGCCTGAGGTGCCTCTACGGTGTGGAAGAAAGCTCCTCCAACCAGTGGATCTTTCTCTGCTCTTCTCTTCCCATCCTTCCAGGTTTTGTCAGAAGATTGGAGGAAGAACTGGAAGACCTCTGACTGGGCGACAACAGGATGGCGTGACATGCGATCCACCCACAGCTGGAGCTGCTGCCGGCGCCCTTCCACAAAGTCTGCCTCGTACCTGCCTGTCACTTGCTTCTCAGGGAGCGGAGGCACAGCGATTGTGGTGAACTTCTCGATCAGCCTTTCATACAGCCAATCAAAGTGCTTGTACCTTCTACTGACTGTCTGGTTGGTGTTGTCTGGAGTCAGCTGGTAGGTAATGAAACTCTTCAGCCCTTTCAGCTTACTTTCCTTTGTTGGATCGGCCACACTGACCTTGTATGGTGCAGGGTTTGGACCCCATGACCACCCCTCTTGTATTTCTGTGACAACGACTCTGTTCTTTGTAGAGCCTGCACTTTTTGTGGTGCCCAAAATGAAGGCTTCTCCACCAGACTTCACAAACATGGAGAACCTATTCAGGCTTTTTCTCATGGTGCCACCTGACTTGCCAGCATCACTGCCCATGGTTTTGGTGGTTGGAGATGTGGGTGTGGTCGCTGTGCTGCTGCCGGTGCTCGCACCATCATCATCCCAGTCATCATCCCACCCCTCCTCCTGACCACCTGTCTGGGCTGAAGAACACAGAAAATGGAATCAAACATTTCAGTAGCCCAAGGAATGGTTGCATCTGCAAAAGGGCTCTTGTTCATAGAGGCCTAGCGCCTGCATTAAACCAGTGACATAAGAATTATAAGTTTCATCCCAGGAAGCTCTACTGCCTCAAGGACTTACCAGGTGTGGTGTCCCCCCACGAGTCCTGCCCATAGCTGGAGGAGTAGGCTGTGTTGGCGACACCCTGGTCCCAGGGGTCAGTGGCTGCAGTGTTCTGGTACTGGCTGGAGGGATCATTCCACTGGTCAGCAGCTGAGGCGCTCTCCTGTGTATAGGTGTTGGCTGAGGTATCCTGGGACCCATTGTAGTAAGAACTATCAAACAATAAAAGAAGGGTCACTCCTCAGCTGTAATGTATTCACTGAGAAACCATAAGATTTACCAGTCTTGCTCATATTTCAACCCCTAATAATCTAATAACCATTCAGTGGAGTCCTTGGCGCCACGACTTCCTCCAGATGTCACATCCTTTTCCAGCGGAAGCCTAAGGACACAAGCTTGATTCTCTACAGTTCTAAGAGACACAGGCGATATTGATTCCAAGGCTACTAGGGAAATTATGATAATACATACACACACACACACCATGTTTTTCAGTGTTACTTTAACTGGGTTTTAGTCCAACACCTTTTAACGATTTTTTAGAATTATCTATCATGATCTACTCAATACTGACGCGGGATCGGGACATCCCGTCTGGGAGAATGGTTACTACAGTATCAAGACGTCTTCAAAACTAGGCCCCAAACCTTTCTGTACCAGCAAAAACGTTTACTAAGCAAGTTCCTCAGTCCCACCTGTTATTTGCTGTGTGTAAACAGTTCTGGGTACAAAGTCTGGCTGTTGCGCCACCGTTTCAGTACTTTTCGCCCGATACATTGATTTATTCTATATCAATCCTAAGCGTGTTCCCTTTCATTTCCGACAGTAATCAAAATTATAGGTTGTAAAGAAACGATAGACAGCCTTAGCAGTTCCGTGATACGCAGTGGTAGCCATACCTGTCGGCTGCTGGGGGCGTTTCCGTCACCGCCTCGCCACTCCCCGCGGTCTCCTCCACATAGGCCGACGGGAAGTAGCCAGCTTCTCCCCGGTCATTCTGACCCTCCCACCAGCCCTCCCCGACATCCTTCCTTAGTATCGTTATTATCTCATCTGTGTAGATGGTTAGCTCGCCGTTTTCCGCGACACCCTCGAAATCGTACAAAACTCTCACTTTTTCCTCCCCCATGTCGTCCAACAGGTCACAGCGCGGAACACGTTTGTTTTTCTGATCAGCTGATCCCCTCATGGGTAAAGGGACCATTTATCTTGTCCCGAGTATGTAAATTAGACTCCTTAAACAGCAATGCATGCAAATATCATGCAGATATATAATAATGCGGAAGAAACTAGGAGAAACTAGTAAAAAGCAGTAGAAATCGGGAGAATATAAAAGAAAGAAGGAGAAAGCAAGAAAAAGCTAGCAAATATAGGAGAAAGCGAAAGAATACAGGAGAAAGCTGGGGAATACAGGAGAAAGCAGGGGAACACAGGAGAACACGGGAGAAACCAGGAGAACCCAGGAGAAAGCAGGAGAACACAGGAGAAAGCAGGAGAAAGCAGGAGAACACAGGAGAAACCAGGAGAACCCAGGAGAAAGCAGGAGAACACAGGAGAAAGCAGGAGAACACAAGAGAAAGCTGTAGAACACAGGAGAAAGCAGGAGAACAGAGGAGAAACCAGGAGAATACAGGAGAAAGCAGGAGAAACCAGGAGAACACAGGAGAAACCAGGAGAACACAGGAGAAACCAGGAGAACACAGGAGAAACCAGGAGAACACAGGAGAAACCAGGAGAACACAGGAGAAATTAGGAGAAAGCAGGATCTAGGAGAATACAGGAGAAAGCAGGAGATCAGGCAGTTTTTTCAGGCTGTCGGTACCTCTGTAAGGGATTAAAAACTCACACACAGATGTGTAGACCAACTACATGTATTTATTTGATTCTCAAAATCAAAAGATATACATATTCTTTTATACAATACTGGGCCCGCTCACACTTCTTATAGTGAAGCATGCAAACTACTCGAACTGCCCACCCTGGTAAGCCGCCGCCGCCAGCTGTGCTACAAGTTCGCTACACGCCTGCTGAAGTCGGAGACTTTCAGAGACTGGCTACCCCCATATCGCAGTGAGATCGGCGCCAAAACTACTAGATCATCACACCTACTTGACTCTGTAAAAGCACATACAGATAGATATAAAAAAGCCCTATCCCATATATGACATCCCTTCTGAATGAGCATGATACCTAATGCCAATTCTTTTCAACTTTCCCCTTGTTCACGTATACAAACCCGATTAAATGTAATAAGTTATCTGTCGTAAAGTTTAGTAATTTCATATTCGAGTTTATTACAATGTACGAATGTGTAGCTATTAACTTAAAATATATTGTACCAGTTTTTAATCATATTTTGTATATTTTGTCGGTGCTTTAGTGTTATTATATCTTTTAACGATAAGTTACATACTGTAAATTAAAAGAAGGTGTTTGAACAACCTAATACTATCACCAAAATTCAGTCTTAGAACTGCAAGTGTGATACGTCTGGACAAAATGTCAAATAAACCATTCATATTCCTACAATTATAGATGTTACTAAGTCATGTAACTCCATCTCTGTTCCTTTGT